GCGATTTAGCGCTTCTGCGCATGCACGACCGCCAAAACCTGGAAGTAACTCGTTCTGGTACTTCCAGGTTTCGGCAGTCCACAACCCGAAAAAACGCAACTGGAAGCATCTGTAACTCAAGGTATGACTGTAAAATCTACATACAGCAACAGTGGAGTCTGCTTCTTTGGAGGTCTTTAAGCAGACGCTTGACAACCATATGTCAGGAGTGCTCTGATGGTGTTTCCTGCTTGGCAGGGGGTTGGACTCGATGGCCCTTGTGGTCTCTTCCAACTCTATGATTCTATGATTCTATGATTCTATGTTGTGTAGGCTCCTCTGATGTAAGTCATGGGCCCCACCTGCTAGCCTGCTCCCTAAAATATCACGGGTTTGCTCATTTCTTATATAGGGTGCCTACATTCTGCATGGACTGGTTGCAAGGCAACATGTGCAAATGGCTTTAGATACCTATTAGGTCCATAAATTACCATATGGCATATATTCAGCACAAAAAAACCAGCAGCAATTTGTTGTTGACAAAGGACAGCTGGACATAGAAAGGGCCCCATTATCTTCAGTAGCTTAGGGCCTCATCAAACCTAAATCCAGCCCTTCCTCTGAGGGATTAAGGTCTCTTTAAACCTTTCGGAAGTCTTGGGTGTGTTCTGCATGCTTCTTAGTGTTTTTGAACTTGTGGGTTATGCGCTGATGTGCATGCAGCCTAATATTATTATTTCCTGCAGCTGGGTTTGCTTTGAAGCATTCCACAGCTGGAGGCAGCCATGATTAAAAATGCCAGATGTTGGAAACCATGGGAGGGGAGACTGATCCGCTGCTTGGATCTGCTTGTGGGTTTTCCATGGACGCATCCAGTTGGCCACTGTGAGAAGAGGAGGCCAGATTAGATGAGCCATTGACTGGATCCTGCACACTCGCCTTATGTCCTTAGCATTACGAGGGAAGCAAACTTGCTTTTCAGAACAAGTAGTAATTAAAAGAGTTTCAGCGACGTCACAACCCTCCTTCCTGAAACCTCCTTTCTGAGGTTGTGTAGGAAACCAAGCCCTTTGCTAGATTTCTTGGAAGGTTGTGTGGCCTTTTCCGGTGGTTCCAGAACTGGTGGACATCGAAGAAAACCAAATGTGAGAAGATTCAGGACAGAGAAAAGGGCATCATTTAACTATGGAACTCACTTCCCCATGAGATGGCTTTAAAACCAACTTGGAAGGCTTTTAAAAATAAAATTACCGTATTTTTCGCTCTATAAGATGCACCAGACCACAAGACGCACCTAGTTTTTGGAGGAGGAAAACAAGAAAAAAAATATTCTGAATCTCAGAAGCCAGAACAGCAAGAGGGATCGCTGCGCAGTGAAAGCAGCAATCCCTCTTGCTGTTCTGGCTTCTGGGATAGCTGCACAGCCTGCATTCGCTCCATAAGACGCACACACATTTCCCCTTACTTTTTAGGAGGGAAAAAGTGAGTCTTATAGAGCAAAAAATACGGTATTTGATTTTACAAGTGTAAAATTATAACAATACCAAATACATATCCATATTTAGAGATTTCTCTGAATCTCCAGACTTCCCAACATCCCCTCTATGGGTCCTTTTGTCAACCTTTTCAACTGCAGATTATTCCACAGTCCATGTTTTATCTCTTTCCATATTGTCCATGATAAATGCTACACTACAAATGTTATTAAAAACCTGCTAATGTTTTCATCTGCTTACAGTGGTCTCTTAAATAAATAATATTTTTTCCCATTCTTTATTGAAATTTTTGTTTTCTTGGCTCCTGAGCTTTCCGGTCAGTTTTGCCATTTCGGAGTAGTCTTAACAGCTTGGTTTGCCATTCCTCTCTGGTAGGGACTTTGTCTTCTTTCCACCTGAGCAAAACTAGAGGACCACGGATTATGACCACTTGCACTTGGAGTTTGCAATAATTGTTAAGCTCTAACTTAAAATGATTTTTTATTCATAACAAACGTAATAATGCAAACACATTGTCATTTGGCAATAACAAAAGTTCCTTTAGACTCATAATGAGCAAGCCAGTGATATTTTAGGGAGCAGGCTAGCAGGCGAGGGGCCCATTACTTACATCATAGGATCCTACACAACACAAAACACTGTTGCTGTATGTAAGTTTTATTTTATTTGTTTTTCATCGTATATTTTGGAAATGTACATCAAGGGTTTGCGTGGTGAGCAACCTGAAATCGCGCAACCCAAAGTATCTGTAATCTGAGGTGTGACTGTACAGTGGTACCTCGGGTTACAAACACTTTGGGTTACAGACTCCACTAACCCAGAAATAGTACCTCGGGTTAAGAACTTTGCCCCAGGATGAGAACGGAAATTGCGCGGTGGCAGCAGCAGCAGTGGGAGGCCCTATTAGCTAAAGAGGTACCTCAGGTTAAGAATGGCTTCAGGTTAAGGACAGACCTCCGGAACGAATAAGGTTTGTAACCAGAGGTACCACTGTAGCTTGTTTAGCTTATACGTAAATCTGGCACTGGCTATTAGCCACGATGGCTCTGCTCTACCTCCACAGAGTCAGAGAAGAAGAAGAAGAGTTTGGATTTGATATCCCGCTTTATCTCTACCCAAAGGAGTCTCAAAGCGGCTAACATTCTCCTTTCCCTTCCTCCTCCACAACAAACACTCTATGGGGTGAGTGAGGCTGAGAGACTTCAGAGAAGTGTGACTGGCCCAAGGTCACCCAGCAGCTGCATGTGGAGGAGCGGGGAAGTGAACCTGGTTCACCAGATTACGAGTCTACCGCTCTTAACCACTACACCACACTGGCTCTCAGAGGCAGTTGCTGAAAACCACAGGAGGGGAGAGGACTTTTGTGGTCGGATTCTCCTTGATGGTTTCCCATAATGGGTATCTGGTTGCTGACTGAGAGAACAGGATGTTGCACTAAGATGACCCATTGACCTGATCCAACAGGCTCTTATGTTCTTATGGTTGTTCAGCTGATCTGCACCCCCTCCCCCGCTATGATTACTCTCGTTTGAATTCTCTTTTCTGGTTTTTTTGGTTTTGAAAACCCTCACTTATACAGTGGTACCTCTGGTTGCGAACGGGATCCGTTCTGGAGGCCTGTTCACAACATGAAAAGAGTGCAACCTGCAGTGGCGCTTCTGCACATGCGCGTGATGTCATTTTGTGCTGCTGCGCATGCGCGAGCGGCAAAACCGGAAGTAACCCTTTCCGGTACTTCCAGGTTGCCGCGGGACATAACCTGAAAGAATGTAACATGAGGCATGACCGTAATTACTCTTGTTCTAGGATTGCATCTTCTGTTCTTATAACAGGCTAGGAGATTACAGGTAGTCACTCGAATCCTTTCCCAACTGATGGGCAGTTTCTTTTTTCAGGCTCTGCTTGCGATAGGAGGTCCATAGCTTAGAGCAGGGACCAGCAAACTTTTTCGGCAGGAGGCCGGTCCACTGTCCCTCAGACCTTGTGGGGAGCAGGACTATATTTGGTGGGGGGAAATGAACAAATTCCTATGCCCCACAAATAACCCAGAGATGCATTTTAAATAAAAGCACACATTCTACTCATGCAAAAACACGCTGATTCCTGGACCGTCCGCAGGCCAGATTGAGAAGGCGATTGGGCCGCATCCGGCCCACGGACCTCAGGTTGCTGACCCCTGGTTTAGAGGCAGGGAATCTGTCTTGAATGCAGAAGGCCTCAGGTGCAATTCTTGACATTTCCAGCTGGAATGGGGGAGAACCCCTACCTGAAAACCTGCTGCCAGTATTGCAGAGGGAGAGAGAGAGAGAGAGAGAGAGAGAGAGAGAGAGAAGGAATACTGAGCTAAATGACACCACTGGAATAAGGCACTTTCCTGTAATCCTGTTCTGATTTTGATTTATTTTTTTAGAGAGAGGCAGTGTGGTGTAATGGTTAAGGTGCCAGACTCTGACCCAAGAGACCCAGGTTTCAATCCCCACCGGTCCAAGAAGCTCACTGCCCTGCAGCCTAACCTGCCTCACAGGGGTTTTGTGAGGGTAAAACAGGAGCAGAGAGGCACGTACGTCACCTTGAGCTCTTGAGTATAAATAAATGCATACCTGGCGCTGTGGGTTAAACCACAGAACCTAGGACTTGCCGATCAGAAGGTCGGTGGTTCGAATCCCCGCAACGGGGTGAGCTCCCGTTGCTCGGTCCCTGCTCCTGTCAACCTAGGAGTTTGAAAACATGTCAAAGTGCAAGTAGATAAATAGGTACCACTCCGGTGGGAAGGTAAACGGCATTTCCGTGCGCTGCTCTGGTTCGCCAGAAGCGGCTTAGTCATGCTGGCCACATGACCCGGAAGCTGTACGCCGGCTCCCTCGGCCAATAAAGCAAGATGAGCGCCGCAACCCCAGAGTCATCCATGACTGGACCTAATGGTCAGGGGTCCCTTTACCTTATTATTATTATTATTAAGGTAAAAGAAGGAACAGAGAACCATGTACGTTGCCTTGAGCTCTTGAGTATAAATAAATGCATACTAAATAAATGCATTCCTGAGTATAAATAAATGCATACTAAATAAATAAACCTCCCAATGACCTGAGGACAGAATAGCTTTTGAAGCCCCTCCTAACATACTAACCTGCCTGGAAAGAAGGGCACATTCCTAAACAGGCCCTGCTTTATGTTCTCTTGCCATTCAACATAACCATGGGATTCTGGCAGGGATTCATCAGCTGCAGGCTGAACTAGATGAGCTTTGGGGGTCCCTTCCAACTCTACATTTCTACGGTCCTATGGCCTTGGAAGGTGGCGGACTCTCCTTCGTCGGAGGCCTTTCAGCAGAGGTTGGCTGGCCGCCTGCCTGGGTTTCCGGAGCCGTGGTTGCAAGGGGGTTGGGCTGGATGACCTTTGGGGGTCCCAGCCAACCCTGCCATTCCGTGAGCCTGTGCGCAATTGCTCTCCCGCTGCGCTGCCAGAGCCCTCCTGCCCTTTCCCCTTCTCTGTGCGTCCTTGCAAAGTCACGCAACGCGTTTGGCCACACACCACCCTTTGAAATCCTGGAACGAATGCGCTCTCTCTCTCTCTCTTTCCAGCCCTGAATACAGACAAAATCAGGACCAGAGCTGGAAAGAGTGTGCGCCTCTCCCCGTCTCCTTTGTTCTTTCCTCCATTGGCTGAATGTCCTACTGTTTTCGCCCTCATCTGCATTCTTTTCATCGTCTGCGAAAGAACTGGAGCAAAGCGCAGCGGCTTGGAATGTCCCTTTGGAGAGCTTTTGCGCCCTCCTCCTCCCTGTGGTTGATCCGGGATCCCGGAGAGTGGTGAGTGGCTGCAGAAACCTCCTCCTCAAACCCACACCTCCCTGACCCCTCCCCTGCCACCGAGCCCTTATACAGCACCCTCGACGCGAGCAGGCAGCTCCTAGCGCCGTTCCTCTGACCCGGAGAGAAGCCCTTTCTGCTCACCTGCCCGCCGGGACCGCAAAGCGCACCATCACCAAGGATGAAGGCTTCCTTCGCCGCGCTGCTGGCAGTTCTGCTCTGCGTGGAGAGAGGTAAGACTTCTTTCTCCTTTTGTAGGTTCGCCTAGCTCAGTACGGTCTGCACTGGCTGGCAGCAGCAGCCCAGGGCCTCAGGTGGGGGCCGTACAAGACCCACACCGCATCTGAAAGAGGTCAGCCGTTTTAGAGTGGCGGCAACTTTGGAACTCCCTGCCTATAGATATCAGGCAGGTGTCTCCCCTGTTTTCTTTCCGCCTATATTCTTTTCATCGCCTGCCAAAGACATTCTTTTTGAGACAAGCCATGCCAGAAGATGTTTAGGAAGCTGGTATGAGTTTTAATTTGTTTTCGTCTGTTGCAGTTTTAACTTTCGGCATGTTTGGAATCACGGCTGTAATTTTTTTTCCTGGGATGGTTTAATTGCTTTGCCTATTTTTTTTCCCCTGAACCACCTTGAGGCATTTCCCTACAGTCAAGCGGTGTGCAAGTTTTATGAAATAAATAACCCGGAGATGCCAGAAACTGAACTTGAGACCTTCTGCATGCAAAGCAGATACACTATGGCACTTTGTCCACTAAACAGACAAGATTCTAGTCCTCATGGGATTCATTTACAGTCCATCTGACTGTGTTGCTCCATCCACTCTGAGCAGCTTCCAGTTAATTAAAACAGGGCTGGTAGCTATAGACTCATAGACGAAGAATTGTAGAGTTGGAAAGGGACCACAAGGATTATCTAGTCCAACTCCCTGCAATGCAGGAATCTTTTTGCCCAATGTGAGACTCGAACCCACAACCCTGAGGAGTATGCTCTACCTACCGAGCTGATATGTAGGACTATGTAGGAAGCTACCTTATGCCAAGTCATACCATTACGCCCAGCGTGGTCTCAACTGACGAGCAGCGCCAATTGAACCAGGGACCATCTGCATGGGGTTGGACTAGATGATCCCCAGGTGTCCCTTCCAACAATTCTGTGATTCCATTCAGAGCAAAAGGGTATGGCCCTTCCCAGATAGGAGCTCGGGAAGCTGCCTTGCACTGAGCCTGGGAACCTTTGTCCCTCTAGCTCCGTATGGGAGCCTCTCACTTGGATTTCATCTCAAGCCCCACCTAGAGGTTTCCAACCTGGGATCTTATACAGCTGTTTGGCCATTGCCCTTCCCTTCATCATTTTCCTAGCCACGTCTAGATGAAAACTGGTGGAGAGGCTGCCGTTTCCTTTTGTGTTGCTTATTCGTTACTATGATCTCATTCGTTAAATTTATGTGCTCAAAGATCACGGGTGCGTTTATATCTCACTATTTTTACTGAAATCATAGAATCGTTAAGGGAACCCTCCTGAAATTCAGGAACAGGCTGTCCCATGCGGGGAATCGAACCTGCAACCTTGGCGTTATCAGTACCACGCTCTAGCCAACTGAGCTATCCAGGCTGATATTAATTTCTCCAGGGAGCTTGAGGTGGTGTTCATGGTTCTCTGCCACCCGCCGCTCCTCATTTAATCACCACAACAACCTTGTGGGGTAGGGTTCAGGACACAACGCCCCTGTGCCCCCTTCACTCTAAAAAGCAGCTCTGATAGTACCCCACAGAGGTCCACACACCCCTTCTTCACCCCTCCCGCCTCCTTGAAAGTCTCTCTCTCAGGCTACACAGTGTCCTTGAAGGCCCACAACGTCTCCTGATTGTCCAGATAAGAGAGGGGGCGTGTGTCGAAACCCGAAGGATGAACCAGAGGGAAAATTGGCATGCATTTTGCCCCTGGCCCTGCCCAACGCCAGCATGCAGCCTTCAAAAGGTTTTCCAGAGGCAAATGTGGGCTCCGGGTTGCAAAAGGGGCCCCAGCCCTGTCATTGGGAACAGGGTAAGCTCAAACAAAGGGGTCAGCTATGGCTGCAGGCAGCTCAAGCCTCTGGAAGACAATAAAGCCACACCCTGGATTGTCCTTTGTTGTCCAAGGAAGTGGAGAGATGACTAAGAGGCGCCTGTTTTCAGTTAGGAGTTATGAGGTCAGCTGAGACATCAGCGGCGATGGGGAGGGGGTTTTCTCTGCCATTATGGCGGCAGTATTTTTCCTGCTGCAGGCGGTGGCGTGGCTTGCAATGAGCTCATCGCTTGTGGCTTCAGGGCTTGGCAAGGATGGTTGGCTTGGCTTGGGTGGGTTGGTTGGGGGTGCAGGGAGAATGCAAAGTCCTCGACTGAGCGCACAGAAACATCATTCCCTTCCTTTTCCATGTACTTTTCGGGACCACAGATCCTCTGCTAAACAGCTCGCGGCGAAAGAATCTCAGCCAAGCCGTATAACATAGTTTGCACATTAAAAAAATATTCATAAAATCTATCTGCAGCTTGATCATAGGAAAAAGCCTCAGATAGGCTTCTATGAAGTTATCACTAAAAAAATCAGCAACCATAATTTAAAGCATAGAGGAAGTTTAAACCACAATGGAATAGACTGAAACAAATTAAAATGGAGTGCAAACTTTCTAAACATCTCGGTAGGCTGGTCTCAATGCAAATGTCTTCAGCCGAAAAAAAAACATTGGTGTCTGCCTGATATCAATAGGCAGGCGGTTCCAAAGTTGCCACACTGAGTTCAGGTGGGGTAATGCGTGAAATTGATTCCAGCTTGTTTAATAAGCCTAAGGCCTGGTTGAAGAGGAATATTTTCGCCTGGCGTCTAAACATATGCAAGGAAGGCACCAGGTGAGCTTCCACGGGGAGATCATTCCACAAATGAGGAGCCACCACAGAAAAGACCAGTACTCTTTTTGCCACCCTCTTCTGAAGGAGGCACATGAAGAAGGGTCTTGGAGGATGATCTTAGGGTTTGGGTAGGTTCATATGGAAAGAGGCAGTCCTTGAGGGATTGCCGTCCTGAGCTGTTTAAGGCTTTATAGGTCAAAACGAGCACTTTGAATTGGGCCCGGAAACTAATGGGCAGCCAGTGCAGCCAGACCAGGATCGGTATTATATGTTCAAACCATCTTTCTTCTGTGAGCAACCTGGCTGCCAAATTCTGCCCCAGTTGAACCGTCTTCAGAGGCAGCCCCATGTATAACACATTGCAGTAATCCAACCTGCAGGTTACCAGAGCATAGATGACAGGAATTAGGCTGTCTCTGTCCAGATAGGGATGTGGGTGGCGCTGTGGTCTAAACCACTGAGCCTCTTGGGCTTGCTGATCGGAAGGTCGGTGGTTCGAATCCCCACGACGGGGTGAGCTCCCATTGCTCAGTCCCAGCTCCTGCCAACCTAGCAGTTCGAAAGCATGCTGGTGCAAGTAGATAAATAGGTACCGCTCCGGCGGGAAGGTAAACGGCGTTTCCATGCGCTGCTCTGGTTCGCCAGAAGCCACTTAGTCCTGCTGGCCACATGACCCGGAAGCTGTATGCCGGCTCCCTCGGCCAATAAAGCAAGATGAGCGCTGCAACCCCAGATTCGGCCACGACTGGACCTAATGGTCAGGGGTCCCTTTACCTTTACCCATCTGACTGGGTTTCCCCAGCCACTCTGGGCAGCTTCCAACCTATACGAGAACATAGTAAAACATCAAACATTAAAAACGTCCCCGTACAGGGCTGTCTTCAGATGTCTTCTAAAGGTTGTATAGTTACTTCTCTCCTTGGCATTTGATGGGAGGGTGTTCCACAAGGTGGGTGCCGCTATCGAGAATGCCCTCCCTCCTTGAGAGTTTCAGGTGGCCCCACATGCCCTTCAACTCCTCCTTGCTGCTTCTTATCACCAAACCTCTCTCTATCTCTCTCTCCCACTCTGTTCTCATGAACACCAGTTGTTGTTGTTTTGACATCTCCACAGCACCAAGCTCCAAACAGGTGCTCATTAAGCCCCGCAATCGCCGTCTGAGGTGTGCTTCTTGCAAAAACATCTGCCCACAGAGCTCTCCTGCCTGGAGCAGGCTTGCTGATTGAGCAAAGACATCGCTCTTGTTTTGGCTGTCCTCGAAGAACGACGTTGGGGAAATACTTGGTTTGGGAGCCGGTCTAGGAAAGTGAGGCCTACCCAAGGGGGATCCTGCTAACAGCAGTGTTGTATGGCTTCACGCTTCCTTGGGAGGTCAGAGGAGAATTCTCTGTTTATAGGATACTTTTCTCCCAGGGAAAGCACTGTTCAATATTGGCCAGGGGCATTGGCCAGATAAAGCAGTTGGTCCCTTACCTTTCCCGCCCCGATCTGGCCACCGTGATCCATGCGACGGTCACCTCCAGGCTTAACTACTGTCATTCGCTCTACGTGGGGCTGCCCTTGAAACAGTCCCACAAACTCCAGGGGGTGCAAAGCTGCATACACAAATATCCACATTAGGAGAAATTTGCACTTAAAACGCTGATGAATTTTCATGAAGGCTTTAAAGAAAAACAGTCTAATAGTTTTCTGATGTGAACTCCTGAAAGCCTGAATTTGCATCTATCCATATGAATAAGCATATTTGGGTCAAGGGCCTGTTTAAGTACCTTGCAACACCCCTTGTATGTAGCAAGGCCGGCACAGCGCTGTGGCAAGTCAGGGCAAACTGGATGGGTCAGAGATGTTCCCATAGCTTCTTGTGCTAATGTGCTTCGGACGAAGAGCAGCTGCCTAGAAAAACGGGGCTTGGAAGCGCTGGATGGTTTTCACTGTCCTTTGGTCAAAACAAAACAAAACAGGACTGATGTGAGAGCAGAGAGCGAGTTAAACTGTGGAACTCACTGCCACAGGAAGCAGTGATGGCCGCAGATTTGGATGGCTTTAAAAGAGTATTGGACAAATCCATAGAGGGAGAGAGGACTACTGATGGCTACTAGCCAGGATGCCTATGCCCTGCCAGTTGGAGGCAGCGATGCTTCTGAAAGGGCCGGATTGAGGTTTGATGTGGCCCTCAGCTACTGAAGGTAATGGGGCCCTTTAGATGTCCAGCTGTCCCTTGTCAACAACAAATTGTCACTGTTTTTTGTTGTTGAATATATGCTATATGGGAATTTATGGACTTAAGGTAAAGGGACCCCTGAACGTTAGGTCCAGTTGCAGACGACTCTGGGGTTGTGGCGCTCATCTCGCTTTATTGGCCGAGGGAGCCGGCGTACAGCTTCCGGGTCATGTGGCCAGCATGACTAAGCCACTTTTGGCGAGCCAGAGCAGCGCATGGAAACACCTTTTACCTTCCCTCCGGAGCGGTACCTATTTATCTACTTGCACTTTGACGTGCTTTTGAACTGCCAGGTTGGCAGGAGCAGGGACCGAACAACGGGAGCTCACCCCGTCGCAGGGATTCGAACCACTGACCTTCCGATCAGCAAGCCCTAGGCTCTGTGGTTTAGACTACAGCGCTACCCGCTCCCCTCATTTATGGACTTAATAGGTATCTAAAGCCATTTGCACATGTTGCCATGCAACCATCCGTGCAGTATGTAGGCACCCTATATAAAAAGATAAAGGGACCCCTGACAATTAAGTCCAGTCGCGAACAACTCTGGGGTTGCGGCGCTCATCTCGCTGAGGGGGCGGCCGTTTATCCGCTTCTGCAGACAGTTTTTCCAGGTCATGTGGCCAGCATGACTAAGCCGCTTCTGGCGAACCAGAGCAGCGCACGGAAATGCCGTTTACCTTCCCGCCGGAGCAGTACCTATTTATCTACTTGCACTTTGACGTGCTTTCGAACTGCTAGGTGGGCAGGAGCAGGGACCGAGCAACAGGAGCTCAACCCGTCACAGGGATTCGAACTGCCAACCTTCTGATCTGCAAGCCCAAGCAGCACAGTTGTTTAACCCACAGCGCCACCTGCATCCCATCCTAACATGGCGGTTGAGGTCAAGGTGGCGGCCGCCCCTCTGCCACCGCCATCGCTGCAGCATCAACGTCCCGAACATGTATTGTTTGTTTATTTAAAGTGTCCCTGGATTCATTGAAAAAAATCCGGTACCCCTAGACTAGGTGATCCAGCAGCTTCTTCTCATGTTATTATAACTCTCAAAAACGACAAGGATGCATAGGTATTCTTACAAAGCACAAACCAAAGGACAGTGTTTTCTTTCCCTCCCTGAGCTTTCGGAAACAAATGATGCTCTTTCTCTTCATGCAGAGTTACAGCAAATCTAATCTAATCCCCTGTGAGAATTTGTCAGTGTGGCATGTAAACTTCTGAGTTACACAAGACCATTCCGCAGAGAGCATGGCGCCCGACCTCTTTTAACTTGTTTAAACATTCAGCCCTGGAAAGGATGGTGTGTGATTCAAAAGTTCACGCGCAACATTTCAAAACCTGGTTTGTCTTAATTAATAGATTTGTTTCGCATCCCTGTGGGTTTTGTCCTAATCGCGTTGCGTCCACACCCTTGCACAATTACCACCTGATGGTGCCGACATCCAGTGATGACTTGCAGTTGCGGAATGACCATCAGAGCTTAAACAACTTGCACTGTGGTTGCAGACTGCATCAACTGCTCTCGACTGCCATGCTTTTCTCTTTTTAAAAAAATATATTTTTATTGAGCAATTTAAGAATCAAATTATCAATCAATATAACCATTTACATTTTCCCCCTCTCCCCCCACCCCAAGAACTTCCCTCAGCTCCCCTCGCTGGTTTTTTTTGCACATATTGTGCTCTGCATATTATAAAATTGTACATACCATTGCCTTATCTATCACGTTTTTAACTAAAAAATTGTGGATGTTTATTCAAAACCTGCCAAGGAGTCCAAATCATTTTGTTGTCTGCCATGCTTTTCAATGAGGAACATTCTGCGTGAATGGCCCTGTGAAGAGACCTCAAGTAAAATAGACGTGGCATTGTTGGAGGAAAAAAGAGTGAGCTAAATTAAATTTAACTAGCTAAATGAACTACTTGACTCTTACCTTACCAGGAAGTCCTAATAACTAGATTTCCTCCAGAAAGAAATTCGTCCTTAAAGAATAATAGAATCACAGAGTTGGAAGGGACACCCCCAAGGTCATCTAGTCCAACCCCCTGCAATGCAGGAATATCCGCTAAAACATCCCTGACAGGTCGCCAGCTGACCTCTGCTTAGAAACCTCCAAGGAAAGAGGTGCCACCCTCTCCCGAGGGAGTCAAACGGCTGCCAAACAGCTCTTACTCCTCAAATAATTTTTTCATTGAGGTTGATATAGCGAATGGCAAAGATTTAACTGGGTGATTTAATTTAAAGGTTGAAGATTAAATGGTATTATTATTTATTACCCGCCCTTCACTCCAAGGTCTCAGGGTGGGCTACAGCATTAAAACAATATTAAAAACAATTTTAATGTATTAGTTTATTCAATCTTTTGTAGTTTACATTACACACACACACACTCACTCACTCACACACTCACACACAGTGGAACCTCTACTCATGACCACAATCCGTTCCGGAGGTCTGTCCTTATGGCAAATGTATATACTGTCTGTCTGTGTGTGTATAACTATATATATATTAAAAAGTTTATACAGTATACAGTGGACGCTCAGGTTGCAAATGTGATCCGTGCGGGATGCACGTTCACAACATGCAGTGTTCGCAACCTGCGTGTGCGCAGTCGCGGGTTGCGATTTGGCGCTTCTGCGCATGTGCAAAGCGCTATTTAGAGCTTCTGAACATGCGCGACCGCCGAAACCCGTAAGCAACCCATTCTGGTACTTCCGGGTTTCGGAAATCCGCAACCCGAAAAAACGCAACCTGAAATGGCTATAACCTGAGATATGACTGTATACATTTGCCATAAGGAATATATTTTACATTAAAATGTACCAAAAAATAATAAAAGTGTGTGTGTGTGTGTGTGTGTGTGTGTGTGTGTGTGTATACACACACTTTTATTATTTTTTGGTATATTTCAATGTAAAATATATTTTGGCTGGTGTTTTTTTAAAAAATAAAAATATTGTATTAGTATATGTATTATTTCTGTGGTTGATGTGAGCAGGATCCTTGAAACGACAACAATGAACAAACAGTGATCAGTGTACTGGGAAACAGGGAAGTATTTTCTCTCAGCCAGATTGGCTAGTAGCCTTGGCAGCAGGTCAGGTTATTTCAGAGAGGACGCCAGGCCAAAGCCGTTTCATAATCGTTGAAGACCATTATTGCCAAATGACATTCTAGAACAGCAGCGTGATTCACTGTCTAGGTTGGACACACTGCCACCTGCAGTTGGAATAGCAGTATTACAGCTAACTCTACACACAGCCTGAGGATTGGCTCAGTTCCTTGAGCCATCTGAAAGGAGTTGCTTTGAGGGCAACTTACTGTCAACCTTCTCTTTGCATGTGGTATCATGCATCATATGTGTTTGCTGGGGTGGTGGAGAGAGAGAGAGAGAGAGAGAGGGATGGACTGTGATGAAATAAGGTTCTACTTAAGGGTCCATCGCTCAGTTACAAATCCTCCATTATTTTTTCGATTAAAATAGGGATATTCTATTTATTATTATTATTATTAATAATAATAATACCGCGTCCATCTGTCTGGGGTGGGGTGTGGCTTCCAACACACACACACACATAACACATTAAACATTTTGTGCGACACGGGTGGCACTGTCGGTTAAACCACAGAGCCTAGGGCTTGCCGATCAGAAGGTCAGTGGTTCGAATCCCCGCGACAGGGTGAGCTCCCGTTGCTCAGTCCCTGCTCCTGCCCACCTAGCAGTTCGAAAGCACATCAGAGTGCAAGTAGATAAATAGGTACCACTCCGGCGGGAAGGTAAACAGTGTTTCCGTGCGCTGCTCTGGTTCTCCAGAATCGGCTTAGTCATGCTGGCCACATGATCCGGAAGCTGTATGCCGGCTCCCTCGGCCAGTAAAGCGAGATGAGCGCCACAACCCCAGAGTCGGCCATGACTGGACCTAATGGTCAGGGGTCCCTTTACCTTTTAAGCATTTTAAAACTTCCTTATACAGGGTTGCCTTCAGGTTTCTTCTAAAGCATGTATAGTTACTTATCTCCTTGGCTCTGAGGTCACATAGCCTCCAACATTTCTCCAAAGAAGATAGAGGCGTCCCCTCCAACATTTTTCAGGTGAAAACAAGGACGTCCTACCACACCCTCCAACGCTTTTCCGATGAAAATAGGGGAAATGTGGGACATTCCAGGATCAAATCAGAAACTGGGGCAGCTTCTGTAAATCCGGGACTGTCCCTGGAAAATAGGGTCTGCAGTTACAGCTTGCTGGTATAATAAAGGACACCTCAAGGTTTATACAATGCTTTCTGAGCGTTTGAAGCACAGGGCACGCATAATGACAGTAATCCTTCCATGCCAGAACCTTGTAACGTAGGACAGTATAATTATCCTCACATTTGTTATTGGGCATGCATATGAGTGCACATCAGGCAGTATTTATATATCCCAATTTAGCAATGACAAGGTGTTAAAAAGTTTTGGGATTTGTAGGCATCGCATGCGGGCAATGCCCAACCACCAGCACTATGAACTCATGAGGACTAGTATGTTTCACTCAAAAGGAAAGAAGGAAAGCAAGCAAGCAAGCCAAAAATGGACCTCAGTTTCAATAAGATTTTGTGAGTGTTTGGTTGGACTGTGATGCCCTCCCCGAATAACCATCCCCATCTCAATTTAGCTCCCATAAGGGATGATTAAGACAAGAGTGCCTGGCGTGCTCTGGTCCATGGGGTCATGAAGAGTCAGACACGACTAAACAACAACAAAGCGATTAATTCATTGGGAAGTAGCTTTTATTAGAATGTTCCCAGTTTGTTTCCCTCTGTATATGCCTTGGGTAGTGCTGTGGGTTAATCCACAGAGCCTAGGACTTGCCAATCGGAAGGTCGGCGGTTTGAATCCCCGCGATGGGGTGAGCTCCCGTTGCTCGGTCCCTGCTCCTGCCCACCTAGCAGTTCGAAAGCATGCCAATGCAAGTAGATAAATAGGTGCTGGTCTGGCGGGAAGGTAAATGGCGTTTCCATGCACTGCTCTGGTTCGCCAGAAGTGGCTTAGTCATGCTGGCCACATGACCCAGAAGCTGTACGCCGGCTTCATCAGCCAATAAAGCGAGATGAGCACCGCAACCCCAGAGTCGGTCACGACTGGACCTAATGGTCAGGGGTCCCTTTACCTTTATCTTATATATGCCTTGCTTGCCTATTTCTCCCCTTATTCTCTTCCTTACAATCAACATTAGGAAGAGCTTTTGACAGCAAGAGCTGCTAGACTGCGGAATGAACAACCTCAGAAGGTGGTGGTCTCTCCTTTCCTTGGTGGATTTTAAGCAGAGGTTGGGTGGCCATCTACGCCAAGCAAAGCAGTGGGCTCCTTACCTCTCTTGCTCTGACCTAGCCACTGTGATCCACGCGACGGTCACCTCCAGGATTACTGTAACTCACTCTACATGGGGCTGCCCTTGAGACTGACCCAGAAACTCCAGCGGGTGCAGAATGCCACAGCGAGACTCCTTACGTGGTCCTCGCTGCAGGATCACATTCACCCGGTGCTACACCAGCTGCACTGGCTCCCGGTGGAGTGCAGGATCAGGTTCAAGGTGCTGGTTTTGACCTTTAAAGCTCTATACGGCCTAGGACCCTCGTACCTACGGGTCTGCCTTCCTGGTATGCCCCACGGAGGAACTTACAGTCTTCAAACAAAAACACCTTGGAGGTCCCGGGCCACAGGGAGGTTAGGCTGGCCTCAACCAGAGCCAGGGCTTTTTCAGTTGTGGCCCCGATCTGGTGGAACGCTCTGTCCCAAGAGACTAGGGCCCTGCGGGACTTGACATCTTTCCGCAGGGCATGCAAGACAGAGCTGTTCCGCCTGGCCTTTGGGTTTGGACTCAGTCTGACCCCCTCCTTCGGTAATCCTCATAGAACTCTAGCCCAATGGTTGCCATTAATTTGATTTTGAACTGATTTTAGAATGAATTGATTTTAGAATGTATTTCAATTAATAGATTGTGATTGTATGTAAACTGTGTTACTTTTACTGTTGTTAGCCGCTCTGAGCCCGGCTTTGGCTGGGGAGGGTGGAATATAAATAAATTATTATTATTATTATTATTATTATTATTATTATTATTATTATCTTTAGCTGAGATTCCTGTGTTTTCAGGGGGTTGGACTAGATGACCCTCAGTGGCCCCTTCCAACTCCAAGCTTCTATGATTCCTGCCCCTGCTTTGTGGTCTTTACCTAAGGAGCGTGTTTTGTGTTCCATTCACAGTGGCATCGCTGACCTGCTTCCACTGTGAGAACGAGGAAAACAATTGGAACTGCCTGAAGCCAAAGACCTGCGGCGACTCGGACAAGTACTGCGTCACCAAGTTTTTCGGTGGAGGCGTCGGTGAGTGCCGCGTAGCTTCGTCAACTTCTACCATTCTTGCCTTTTCTCTAAATTGAAATGTCCCAAAGGCGGCAACCTCTTGATTACTTTTACCTGGCCTATCTGAGTGAGTTGCCTAGGGCACAGACCTCAGAGGGGTGCAATACTGACCTTTGAGGGGGCCAGTTTTACGCAGATTCGATTTTGTTCTCTCTTACAAATTCCTGATATATTTTACTTTCATTTTGAAGAATGTTATCATTTCTATCAGTTTTTGGAAATTGAAAATTGGAGCCGCCCAGAGTGGCTGGGGAAACCCAGCCAGATGGGTGGGGTATGATGAAGAAGAAGAAGAAGAAGTTAGTGTGTGTGTGTGTGTGTGTGTGTGTGTGTGTGTGTGTGTGTGTGAGCAAGCAAGCAATCTTCAGTCTTCAATCTTTAAATTAAATCATCCAGTTAAATCTTTGCCATTCGCTATATCGGTGGCGCTGTGGGTTAAACCACAGAGCCTAGGGCTTGCTGATCAGAAGGTCGGCGGTTTGAATCCCCGCGACGGGGTGAGCTCCCGTTGCTCGGTCCTTGCTCCTGCCCACCTAGCAGTTCAAAAGCATGTCAAAGTGCAAGTAGATAAATAGGTACCGCTCTGGCGGGAAGGTAAACGGCGTTTCCGTGCGCTGCTCTGGTTCGCCAGAAGTGGCTTAGTCATACTGGCCACATGACCCGGAAGCTGTACGCCAGCTCCCTCGGCCAATATAGCGAGATGAGCGCCGCAGCCCCAGAGTCGGTCACGACTGGACCTAATGGTCAGGGGTCCCTTTACCTTTATATCAACCTCAATAAAAAATTATTTGAGGAGTAACAGCTGTTTGGCAGCCGTTTGACTCCCTAAGGGAGGTGTGGCCCCTCCTTCCTTAGAGGTGTTTGTGTGTGCGTGTGTGCAAGCAAGTAACCTTGTTTAGGGCATAAAGTAGCGTTTCACCAGCCCAAGTCACACCTGTGCATTACAGGGTGGTATCGGCAGGCTCCCTTGTCCTTTAAAGCGAGATGAGCGCCGCAACCCCCGAGTCGTCTGCGACTGGACTTAATGGTCAGGGGTCCCTTTTCCTTTAGTCATAATGGCTGTGCTCCTCTGAATTCCAGCTGCTGGGAACTACAGGAGGGGACAGGGCTCTTGTGTTCGAATCCTGCTTGCGGGTTTCCCATGGGGGCAATAATAATAATAATAATAATAGTTTATTATTTATACCCCGCCCATCTGGCTGAGTTTCCCCAGCCACTCTGGGCGGCTCCCAATCAAGTGTTAAAAACAATACAGCATTAAATAGTAAAAACTTCCCTAAACAGGGCTGCCTTCAGATGTCTTTTGAAGATAAGATAGCTACTTATTTCCTTCACATCTGAAGGGAGGGTGTTCCACAGGGTGGGCGCCACTACCGAGAAGGCCCTCTGTCTGGTTCCCTGTAACCTCACTTCTCGCAATGAGGGAACCGCCAGAAGGCCCTCGGCGCTGGATCTCAGTGTCTGGGCTGAACGATGGAGGTGGAGACCTCCTTCAGGTATACAGGACCGAGGCCATTTAGGATGAATGGTGCCACACTATAAAGCAGTTTTTAAATATTCTGACTGTTTGAACTGTCTCCTTGGGCCATCTTTTTTTATATATAAAAATAACTGGACCTCTTTCTTTCCTTCCTTCCTTCCAGGTGACAACAAGAAGCAGTCCATCAGCAAATACTGCTCTCCCTTGTGCCCCCAAGGTGGGATCGACCTCGGCGTCATGGCCTTTTCCATCAAATGCTGCGAGTCCGAGCTGTGCAACTTAAGCGGGGCTTCCGGCGTGAAAAGCAGCTCCCTGATCTTGGTTGCGGGCACCTTGGCCAGTCTGCTGTACATCTTTGGAGCCAAGTTGTAGATGTAGAAGGCGAGAAGGACTTCTCCTCCAGGGAGAAACCCAACCTTTTCCCCCACGTGCAAAACTGTGCTTTGTAATGCATGCCTGTTAACTTTATTCTCTGCCCAGAGCCGCCTTTCCCGTTGGTGTTAGTGGTGCGTTGCGCCAGGGCGCCCTTGAGAGTTGGGGAGCTGTGTGGCTTTGCTGGCAGCCTCCCCCATAGCTGCCAATGTTTCCCTTTTTTTAAGGGAAGTTCCCTTATTCCGAATAGGATTCCTCGCAAGAAAAGGGAAAAGTTGACAGCTATGGCCTCCCCTTTCCCTGCCTGCCTGCCCGCTGCGCCCCACATATATGGCGGGCGGGCAGCTTTCCTCCCAAGCCTCTGCATCTGCTGAAGATGGCCCTGATCCCAGTGGTCATCCTCCTCCTGCTTCCTGGTGAAAGGTGGCGCGCAGCCTTCCCGGGCGCCCTGACGCCAGAGAGCACGTCCGCCAGCACGTTTTCCTGCTTGATCACCGCCACCACGCCGGGGATTGGGGCAGTGGGGGAGGCAAAGGACATTTTCCACCACCCCCTCCCTTGTTTTGGAGTTGCAGGGGCGCCGGAGGGATCTTTGCACCACCAATGCACCGGATATGCTTAAGACGGCCTTGTCTCTGTCCACACCGACTTGGAGCACTTTCTGAGTCAAGGAGCATTCATTCCACTGGCGCCACATCTATGGCCCACGCACATAATGGACAGGGCAGGGATTACTCATGAGTAAGCCCCCTCTGGTCTCCTCAAGCTGGAAAGATGAGCTGCAGCTCAATGAAGAACATGGGTGGGTCGGTGGGTGCTTCCTCCCCACGAGTAGGCCCATTTGCGGGGGGAAAGGCAACCTAGCCTCTCACTAGAAACCGGGGCAGCGAGTAAAGCAGCTTGTGGGCTTTCCCTACAGGTTGGTTTACTCCAGAGTAAACACCCATCGCATGCCAAGCTTGCAAGGATGATACGCCACTTAATTATTAATCTGTATTTTTACTGTTGGGGACAGTTAGCGAAAAGTGGTCTAAAAATCTAATAAATACGTTAACGTACACATTTAGATGGCAGGAACATTGTATGTTTTTTTGGGGGGTGGGGAGGGTTGGGGAAAGTGCAAGAAAACCTTTTCGCTGGAACATATCCTGAGAAAAATTGCTAATATGGACATCACACAGACTCCAGGAAGGATTTTTGGGGTTGGCTTGGGAAGGGTAATATCTTCCCTGAACAGTTCTGCCCTCTTGAGGCTCTGTTTACATATGCACAGCATGGTGGGAAATAAAGAGATTGTGAAATAAGTAAATATATCTCCCTCTTGGGCAAAGTGTAGGCAGTCAACCAAAGCATCTCTAATTCCCAGATTTCTTTTCTTTTCTTTTTTTAAAAAAACCCTGTGCTGTTAATTTTGCTTTGTATTACACCAAGAATGTTTGCAGGGCAATCCTAAATAGGTTTACTCAGAAGTAAGTCCTGCAGCTTTCAATGTGGACCAGGTTTGGCTGCTTAAGAAAAGCTGTTTTTCTCCACGGTGACCTGAGGACACGCAGACACACTTGGCCCAAGGGAGAATCATGTTATTCAAGGAAATTATTCTTCTCTGGCATTTTATATTCTACACTGTTACAGAAAAATCTAGGTGCGAGGCTGCTCAGTCACCCAGCTGGTCAGGCAGAGCCTGCAGAATAAAGGAAGGAGTCCAGCCACCAACCGGAGCAAATAGCTGTAGACCAAAGCTTATTGCGCAACAGGTTCAAAGAGGAATTTTGAACCCCGAGGATGGGGTGACAAGGACTTTTAAAAGTTTCTATTTATCCCAGCATACAGTTCATTAAGCATCATCACTACATCATTGCTACATCATAAAAGGGGAGGGTTATACATGATTAACAGGGACGCAGGTGGCGCTGTGGGTTAAACCACAGAGCCTAGGGCTTGCTGATCAGAAGGTCGGCGGTTCGAATCCCTGCAACGGGGTGAGCTCCAGTTGCTCGGTCCCTCCTCCTGCCAACCTAGCACTTCGAAAGCACGTCAAAGTGCAAGTAGATAAATAGGTACCACTCTGGCGGGAAGGTAAACGGCGTTTCCGTGCGCTGCTCTGGTTCACCAGAAGCGGCTTAGTCATGCTGGCCACATGACCTGGAAGCTGTACGCCGGCTCCCTCGGCCAATAAAGCAAGATGAGCGCTGCAACCCCAGAGTTGGCTATGACTGGACCTAATGGTCAGGGGTCCCTTTACCTTTACCTTATACATAATTAACATAGGAGGAATGTGTTGGGGCAACAGGCAGATACAGGATATGTATTGGGAAGTACATTCTAAGCACCTACTACAGTGGTACCTCAGGTTACATACACTTCAGGTTACAGACTCCGCTAACCCAGAAATAGTGCTTCAGGTTAAGAACTTTGCTTCAGGATGAGAACAGAAATTGTGCTCCGGCAGCGCGGCTGCAGCAGGAGGCCCCATTAGCTAAAGTGGTGCTTCAGGTTAAGAACAGTTTCAGGTTAAGAACGGACCTCCGGAACAAATTAAGTACTTAACCCGAGGTACCACTGTACAAAGGGACAATAGAACTTTGGTTTGCATAGTCTGCCACCTGGGCAAGACCAGAGGAGTGCCTTTGCCCAGCGACTGACATCTGTGAGTACATGACCTCCCACTTGAGGGATTATGGCAGGGACCGAGTGGTTTCCAAGTCCTTGGCCAATGCAGCAAATTGGCAGTGGAATGAAGGAAACTGGCAAAGGAATTGATTTTATGTGGTTTTTAAAGCTAGGTCACTTCCCTGAGCTGTCGAGTCGAAAGGATACATTTATGCATAATATTTGTAACATCTAACAATTTTAAAGATGTGCCCCCCCCCCTGTAATTTTCGTAACAACACTCTCCTCTTTATGAAGTGTGTATTTTTTGCACAAAGCTCTGAACCTGAATAACAACAACAATAAACGATCCAAACCGCACATGCAATTTATCTGTGTTTCTTGGTGGATTTACCTATGCAGTTTGTTTTCTCAAGGGTTTGATTTTGCAATCATTAAAAAATATCCTTGCACACGACCCCAACTCCCAGGGTTCAGCTTCCTTGGAATGATGCTAGCGGAGAGCAAGGCGCCTTTCGGATAGATCATTTTATTTATCATGATAAAGTAAAGGTAAAGGGACCATTAGGTCCAGTCGTGGACGACTCTGGGGTTGCGGCACTCATCTCGCTTTATTGGCCGAGGGAGCTGGCGTACAGCTTCCGGGTCACGTGGCCAGCATGACTAAGCTGCTTCTGGCAAACCAGAGCAGCGCAAGGAAACGCGGTTTACCTTCCCGCAGGAGTGGTACCTATTTATCTTTGACGTGCTTTCGAACTGCTAGGTTGGCAGGAGCAGGGACCGAGCAACGGGAGCTCACCCCGTTGTGGGGATTCGAACCGCCGACCTTCTGATCAGCAACTCCTAGGCTCTGTGGTTTAACCAACAGTGCCACCCGCGTCCCTATAATTTTTATCATGATAACAAAGTATAAAACAAAGAAACAAAAAATGGTAACAGCAGAATTAATGTTGCCAATGTTAAATCTTGGCCCCAACAAAACCACCTAAACAATATCGCCCCATAAGAGTCTATAGGTTTCCTGAGAAGTAGGGATGGTCTCTGACCTCTTAAGCAGCCTCGGCATTTGCATCTGGAATCAATCAATCAATCAATCAATCAATCAATCAATCAATCAGAGCCTCGCCCTCCGCAACAAGGTAGAAGGAGGCTAGCAAAACAGGCAGCTGGTCTTGCAGAACTCTCAGCCAAGATGGTCTCTTTACATTTATATACAATCCCACCCTGTCCTCAGCTCTCACCTGTGGCTCCAAGAAGCTGTCAGCACCTGACAGCTGCCACGCCCTGGAAACGGCTTCAAATGATCAGCTAAAGCAGGTGAGGGGAGCCAATAATAATAATAATGTATTATTTGTACTCCACCCATCTGGCTGGGTTTCCCCAGTCACTCTGGGCAGCTCCCAACAGAGTTACAGTGGTGCCTCGGGTTACAGATGCTTCAGGTTACAGACGCTTCAGATTACAGACTCTGCTAACCCAGAAATAGTACCTCGGGTTAAGAACTTTGCTTCAGGATGAGAACAGAAATCGTGCGGCAGTGGGAGGCCCCATTAGCTAAAGTGGTGCTTCAGGTTAAGAACAGTTTCAGGTTAAGAAAGCACCTCCAGAACGAATTAAGTTCTTAACCTGAGGTACCACTGTAATGATAACAAAAATTAAAAAGTGATAAAACATCAGACATTAAAAACTTCCCTAAACAGGGCTGCCTTCATATGTCTTCTAAAAGTCAGATAGTTGACATCTGCTGGGAGGACATTCCACAGGGTGGGCGCCACCACCGAGAAGGCCCTCTGTCTAATTTCCTGTAACCTTGCTTCTTGCAGGAAGGGAACCACCAGAAGGCCCTCAGAGCTGGACCTCAGTGTCTGGGCTGAACGATGGGGGTGGAGACGCTCCTTCAGGTATACTGGGCTGAGGCCATTTAGGGCTTGAAAGATCAGCACCAACACTTTGAATTGTGCTTGGAAATGTACTGGGAGCCAATGAAGGTCTTTCAAGACCGGTGTTATGTGGTCTCGGCGGCCGCTCCCAGTCACCTATCTAGCTGCTGCATTCTGGGTCTCAACCCCTCAGTGAGTTAGGGGCTTCGCCTGTGTGCAAAGACAGGCTCTGGCAGATTTAGCAGATGAAACCAAGAGTGGGTCCAACGGTCAAGAGGGAGGTTTTCCACATGCTATAGAGCAGCGGTTCTCAACCCGTGGTTCCCCAGATGTTGTTGGACTACAAATCCCATCACCCCTAGCTAGCAAGGCCAGAGCTCAGGGATGATGGGAGTTGTAGTCCAACAACATCTGGGGACCCACAAGTTGAGAACGGCTGCTGTAGAGGGAAGTGAGGGGCAGATGGGGCTCATCTACCTGGGAAGGTGGACTATCTAGAAGAAGGAAAACTCTGACCCTAAATCACCGCTGCCTTGTGGGATATCTTCGGGAGAAACAAGCACCTCCAAACTTGGCCCTCCAGCTGTTTTGGGACTACATTTCCCATCATCCCTGACCACTGGTCCTGGTAGCTAGGGATGATGGGAGTTGTAGTCCCAAAACAGCTGGAGGGCCGAGTTTGGGGATGCCTGCCCTACACAAATCTAGAGTGGAGTCCCTAAGGCAGTTGGATGGTGCCTTGTATGCCTGCTGGCAAGTCTTGCAGCCAAGCTGGTGCCAAACGTCTTGCTCTGCTTTCCTCTGGACCACATTAGCGAGGCTGAGGGGTGTTTGTCTTGCCATCTGGGCAGCTCAGGGCCTCCAGACACACTGCCCAGGCTTGCGCCCCAAGGAGGTCACTTGGGTGCTGCTAAGGCAGAGGTTAGAGGGACGCAGGTGGCGCTGTGGGTTAAACCACAGAGCCTAGGACTTGCCGAGCAGAAGGTCGGCGGTTCGAATCCCCATGACGGGGTGAGCTCCCGTTGCTCAGTCCTTGCTCCTGCCAACCTAGCAGTTCGAAAGCACGTCAAAAGTGCAAGTAGATAAATAGGTACCGCTCCAGCAGGAAGGTAAACGGCGTTTCCGTGCGCTGCTCTGGTTCGCCAGAAGTGCCTTAGTCATGCTGGCCACATGACCCGGAAGCTTTACGCCGGCTCCCTCTGCCAATAAAGCGAGATGAGCACTGCAACCCCAGAGTCGGTCACAACTGGATCTAATGGTCAGGGGTCCCTTTACCTTAAGGCAGAGGTTTGGCTTCACCCCCGGAGGCGCACTCCACTGTTGCTCCTGAGAGACAGGTGCCAACTGCATTCTGCAAGGGGTGAAGGGGTTCAGGGCATTAACACCGCAACAGATCTTGCTTCTCCTGTTAGCCAGAGCAAGTCTGCAGCTTCTGGCATCCAGCTCATTCACCCACACAGCTCTGTCCCAGCCTATTGTGAGCACACGTGTTAACCCTGTCTGTGGTGCCTACCCCTTTTCCCCAAATGATGAGACAAGAGACCAGAGTATGGGTTCAAATGGGCCACAACTTTATTGACCTTCAAAGTGGGAAACTTGGCACAGGCCTTGGCAGGTAACCCTCTCAGCCCGTCTGGCTGAGGATATGCAGGTAGATGAGCTCCAGTGAGAGGGGACTGCAAAGCGCAAACTTACACAGCATGCCCTTCCACCGACCTCGTCCCAGGAGTTTGACCTACATGCCGCCGCTCTAGGGCCAGGGACTCCCGCTTTTTGCCCTTTAACGGGCCCTGCAAGCGCCGCCGCATGGGGAGGGAGCAGAAATTTTTTCCCTCCCCCCAACTTGATGTTAGACTAAAGGATACCTTGCTAAGGCCTTAAAACCGCCAAAGTTATGACGAAATTGCTTTGGGGAAGGCGAAACCTGCCAATGCAGGGAAAATTCATTCCGAGTTCTGAATACAGTGGTACCTCGGGTTAAGTACTTAATTCGTTCTGGAGGTCCGTTCTTAACCTGAAACTGTTCTTAACCTGAAGCACCACTTTAGCTAATGGGGCCTCCTGCTGCCGCCACGCCGCCGGAGCACGATTTCTGTTCTCATCCTGAAGCAAAGTTCTTAACCTGAAGCACTATTTCTGGGTTAGTGGCGTCTGTAACCTGAAGCATATGTAACCTAAAGTGTATGTAACCTGAGGTACCACTGTACAGCAACCATCTTACGACCGCAGCAGCGCCCGCTGACCTGGAACGCAAAATATTAGCTGTAAGGAAAGAATCATTAACTTGAAGATCACTGACTTAGGATGAAATTATTAAGGCAAGAAAATATTAATTTGAGGGAGGGTGGGTGGGTGATCCTGGAAGGAAGAACAGCAAAAGAGGCTTGTGCCAAGGGGTCATCCTCTTTTCTTTTGGCCTTAGGCCCACCCCCGGCCGGCTGTCCATTGTCCTCCCTGGCTGAGGGCAGGTCACAGGCCGGCCCAAGCAGGTGGGTGGCACCTGCCCACCTGCCCAGGTGCCGCAAACCCCGCCCACCTGTGGGGAAGGGAGGGCGGATATTGCTTTCCATCAGGTCTTGCAGCCAAGCTCGTCTTTTGAGATGCTGATGAGAGCATTGCCCGGGTCATTGTCCTACAATAAACTTGTCTGACTGGTTCCACAGCCTCTTCTGTTAGATTCAAACCCTTCCTGGTCCAGCACAGAGCTACCTTACTTAAGCATCTCTCTTAGCTCTTCCAGTTGATTCACCCAAAGCAATTCTCCCCATTTCCCCCTTGGCGTCGTTTCTCACCTAATTGCTAATTGCAACCCAGCTCAGCCCTTTGAAGGGAGGCACAGTACTAAATGTGGCCCCCCTGGTCTTCCTCTGCAAAGGAGCTTGCTTAGGCAGTTCTCCAAACCGCTCCAATAACAATATCAAAGGACTGCAAGAAATGAAAAGCAACATCTCTAGGTCATGACTGCAAACTGTGTGTGTGTGTGTGTGTGTGTGTGTGCGCGCGCACGCGCTTAGAAACACAGAACTGTAGAGTTGGAAGGTATCTAAGGGTCATCTAGTCCAGGGGTCAGCAAACTTTTTCAGCTGGGGGCCGGTCCACTGTCCCTCAGACCTCGTGGGGGCCGGACTATATTTTGGGGAAAAAACATGAAGGAATTCCTATGCCCTACAAAATAACCCGGAGATTCATTTTAAATAAAAGCACACAATCTACTCATGTAAAAACATGCTGATTCCTAGACCGTCCACGTGTGAGTGTGGATTTTAATCCCACTCACCACATTGTCAGTTTCCTTTCTCTTTGCGGCCCCAGGCACCTGTTTCCTGTTTTCTTGTCCTGAGTAGAGATAAGCGTGGTGTCAGTTCCCTAAAAAAAGGTTGACAACTCTGGGGAACTCTTCCTTAAAAAAGATCAACAATGTTGAGGTTTCTTCCCCTACAACTCTGGGCAACCTGGGGTGTGTGTGTGCCAGGTGGATATTTGCACCCCGGCACCGTATTTGCTTAAGACGGCCCTGTTTGCAGAGTTGCACCAGTTTCCCAGAAAGCAAACAACATCCACTTTTTTAGCGTGGAAAGAAATGCATGGGGGTGGGGGGAAATACCCCAACTCTTAGCAGTGCTTGATTTATAACATAGAACACAACTACTTTGTAATACGATTGTGGGACATCCAGAAAGTATAAAACAATCCAGCTACGTGAGAATCACCCCCAAAATATAATCACATACAAGCTTCTTACATATGTACCTCAAGCATGTATACAAATGCAGTGAGAGGCATGAGCTTCCTTTTATGGGTAATCTCATTTATATTTGTTCAAATTTGAGAGAAAACAATTACTCATCTCTTCCATCAACACGAAGATGACTTTCTCTTTTCTGATCTTTCATATTTGTCAGAGTTGAAAATCCCTGTTCACAACAATATATCCTTGAGAATAGCCAATGTTATTGTGCTTTGATAATGATATTGGAAAGTTGCTACATTCAGATACAAGGAAACTCGGAAGAGAGGGATTAGAGGAAGTCAAGTAACATGTTTATAAGGGTGGATTTTTAAATAATTAAGTTTGTTTGTGTTGTTTATCTGTTTGCTGTTATTTTTTATAGATGTATCCCCCCCCTCTTTTTCTTATTTTTCTTTTTCAGTTTTAGTTTTGGGGTTTTTTTTGGGTTGTGCAAAGTTTGTTGCAGCATGTGTTATAATTGTATAAAACTTAATAAAAATTATTGGGGGGAAAAAAGAAAATAGCCAATGCTCTTGAAGAGAGGCATAGATATTGTTTCATGTTATATAGCTAAAAATAAATAAATAAATAAATACATACATACTGTACTATACTATACTATACTATACTATACTATACTATACTATACTATACTACACTACACTGAAATGTTTCAATGTTTCTTTGATTGTCCTTGAATCTTGTGAAATATATACAGTGGTGCCCCGCAAGACGAATGCCTCGCAAGACGGAAAACCCGCTAGACGAAAGGGTTTTCCGTTTTTGAGTTGCTTCGCAGGACGAATTTCCCTATGGGCTTGCTTCGCAAGACGAAAATGTCTTGCGAGTCTAGAGATTTTTTTTTCGCTCCCCCCCCCCTTATCTAATCTGCTAAGCCTTTAATAGCCTTTAATAGCCTTTTAGCAGCTAATCCCCTAAGCCTTTAAGCCTTTAATAGCCGCTAAACCGCTAATAGCGCTAATCCGTTAAGCCGCTAATAGGGTTGCTTCGCAAGACGAAAAAACCGCTAGACGAAGACTCTCGCGGAACGGATTAATTTCGTCTTGCGAGGCACCACTGTATACATCTAATAAATGAATAAAATCAATAAGCTATATTGGCCTTATTTTCAGCTCTCCTACTCCACTATATAGCTCACATAACCCCTCAATTCTCACTTTTGTCCTCCTTGTTGTTTCCCTCTTCCACAGAACCCCCTTCCTTTGTTCTCTTGACACCTCACTAGGCTAGCCTGACTTGATTAGGTTTTAACACTTGCTGGATCCAGAGAATCGCAGTGCCTGGCACTCAGCTTAACACCCCAAGTCTCAATTAAATTCTAACACTTACTGGATCCAGGAATTTGGAGAGGTCCGGCACCCCTGAACTTGCAGCAACATCGACATTTAAACAGTCATTCCAAAAATGTAAAAACAAAAGCAATCCCTCAATAACTATTTTGCTTCTTATTACATATCGCTTTTCTCCCATATCATTAAGATTAAGTAAAGGTAAAGGTAAAGGGACCCCTGACCATTAGGTCCAGTCGTGGCCGACTCTGGGGTTGCGGCGCTCATCTTGCTTTATTGGCTGAGGGAGCTGGCGTACAGCTTCTGGGTCATGTGGCCAGCATGACTAAACCACTTCTGGCGAACCAGAGCAGTGCACAGAAACGCCGTTTACCTTCCCACTGGAGTGGTACCTATTTATCTGCTTGCACTTTGACGTGCTTTCGAACTGCTAGGTTGGCAGGAGCAGGGACCGAGCAACAGGAGCTCACCCCGTCCCGGGGATTCGAACTGCCGACCTTCTGATCGGCAAGTCCTAGGCTCTGCGGTTTAGACCACAGCACCACCCGCGTCCCTCCATTAAGATTAAGTAATCAGTGGCAAATCAGTATCAACACCTTCAGAATAAGTATCCAAAGGAGGCTTGGAATATTGCAGCCAATACTTGTTCAAGTAATATTCAACACTTATGTAAGAAGGGTTTTTATAACCACTCCGAAAGGCTAAAGCATTTCTGATCTCCAGTCCCGATTTGGACCAGATGCTCTTCGCCCCCCAGATAGGGCGTTGCTTGCTTCCCCATAGCATCTCCCAGGTAGGGCTGGTTTTAGGTTTAATGAGGCCCTAAGCTACTGAAGGGACGCGGGTGGCACTGTGGGTAAAACCTCAGCGCCTAGGACTTGCCGATCGCATGGTCGGCGGTTTGAATCCCCGCGGTGGGGTGAGCTCCCGTCGTTCGGTCCCAGCTCCTGCCCACCTAGCAGTTCGAAAGCACTCTTAAGTGCAAGTAGATAAATAGGTACCGTTTCTAGCGGGAAGGTGAACGGCGTTTCCGTGTGCTGCGCTGGTGCCAGCTCGCCAGAGCAGCTTCGTCACACTGGCCACGTGACCCGGAAGTGTCCTCAGACAGCGCTGGCCCCCGGCCTCTTAAGCGAGATGGGCGCGCAACCCTAGAGTTGGACACGACTGGCCCGTACGGGCAGGGGTACCTTTACCTTTAAGCTACTGAAAGTACCTAATAGGGCCCTTTATATGTGATATTTTAGGGAGCAGTCTAGCAGACGGGGCCCGTGACTTACATCAGGGGTCAGCAAACTTTTTCAGCAGGGGGCCGGTCCAATGTCCCTCAGACCTTGTGGGGGGCTGGACTATATTTTAGGGGGAAAATGAACGAATTCCTATGTCCCACAAATAACCCAGAGGTGCATTTTAAATAAAAGGACACATTCTACTCGTGTAAAAACATGCTGATTCCTGGACCGTCCGTGGGCCAGATTGAAGGCGATTGGGCTGGATCCGGCCCCCGGGGCCTTAGTTTGCCTACCCATGACTTACATCATAGGAGGCTACACAACACAAAACACCGTTGCCGTATGTAGGTTCCCCCCCCCTTTAATTTTTTTTTGGCCCCCAAGAGAGTGGGGCCCTAAGCTAGAGCTTGTTTAGGTTACTGCATTTTAGTGTTCTGCTGGAAGCAGACCAGAGTGGCTGGGGAATAAATAATAAATTATTATTATTATAACTCATGCGTAAATCCGGCACTGCTCCTAGGGCGCATTTTGGAAAGCTTTCGTTTCTGGTGAAAACGCACTTCGGCAGCAAGAAACGAAAGAGAGATGCGAAGCCCAGGAGGTGGGTTTGGGGAGGAACAACAAAATTAGAAAAAAGCTTTGCAGCCTCCGCCAAGCCGCCTTGGATTTGAGGAGAAGCTACACGTGGGTTGATCTCATCCGGCCCCTCCGGCGGTTTATAAGCAGCTTGCGCCTATATTGCTGCGCGCTGGGCAGCTGCTGCAAGACGGGACCGTCCCTCGGTGCTGCTACTCCGCTGTTTTCATTTTTTATTTTTGCAACCCAGCGCAAGAGTTTTCGCCGCTCCTCCACCCCGGAGGTGGGATCCGTCTTTGCAAAAAAAGATAAGGGGGGAAAAAGGAAGCGCGGACAAGACTGCATCCAAGATGAAGGCGTCTTTTGCAATCCTGCTGGCCGCCTGTCTCTGCGTGCAAAGAGGTGAGGCCTTTATATTTTCACGAGACAGGACGCGTTTAGGGTTTCTGACCCCCCCCCCAATACAAAATTAACTTTTTCTCCCCCCGTCTCCCCGCCCAATATCAATTTAGGTTATTTTTAAGGATGCCCGTTAGCTGCTAGCTTTTATCTCTGCAAAGCGAGGGGGAGGATAGCCTGCTTTTGCGGCTGCCCTGCGTCTGGTTTGCAAAAATGGGCGTTGCAGGGGCTCTTTCCGCGTTAAAAGAGCGCAACGTACGCCGCGATCCTAAACCTCTGGGAGGAAGCGCCGCTGGATTGAACAGGCATTTCTTCTGGGTAGGCGTGGTTTAGGGTTGCGCTCAATCCTAAGGGTGCCGCCCTGACCCCGTTTGCCTGGGATTGCCCTGCGGTTCTGTGCACGCGTTAAATGAGAAAGGAGGCCCACCGGGCACACCTGGGTCTGCTTTCGAGTCAATGTGCGCTTTATACAGTGTGGCGTAGTGGTTAGAGTGGTGGGTTAGGATCCTGGAGACCGGAGTTGGGGAGGAAGGGTGGGATTAGGCAGGAAAAGCCCCCTCTGACGTCAGACAGGACTATCTGTGGTGATGAGCAGGGAGGCACTCAGCACATGCTCAGAGACGTTCTCGGTACAAGGGCTTTGCAAGAGTCGGGGGAGGGGCGGCTGCTGGGAATGGTACCCCCCCCAAAAAAAAAACCACCCCCAATGGCACTCCTGGTATGTCATTTTTGTATGGAGATGGAGAAGGCGCTGAGTTAATTTTAATCTCATGTATTCTTTTGAAACATACAGAATTTAAAAGTATGGATGTGAGTTTTTCTTGGTTTTATTGCTTTATCTTTCTGTAAACTCTTGCATGCATGGGAGCAGGGCCGGGAAGAGAAGGTGGCAACCCCTACAGAGTGCCAAAAAAATTCATGGGGGAAGGGGAAGCAGTCCACGAGGTCTTTCCCATCCCCTTTGTCTGAGGGTCTGGAGCTTTGCCAGGGACTCTTGCAAGCCTCTTGCAAAAAACTCCGGGTTTTGTGGTCGCTCCCATTGTGGTGCTGTGGAATTTTTCTGGCATGATGTAAAAGCTGGGATGGTATGGAATGGGAAGGGATGCCCTCCAGCTGTTTTCGGACTACAACTCCCATGATCCCTAGCTAACAGGACCAGTGGTCAGGAATGCTGGGAATTGTAGTCTGTCATTTGAATTAAATGGATGTGCCAGAGATGTATCAGAGGAATATTTTAGAGCGGAAACATTTATGGTTTTTTCTTCTTCTTCCGGAAATGTGGCTCAGTGCCTGTCCCAGCTAGTCCTTTGCGACGGATAAAATCCTTTTTGGGCTGCTGGCACCATCCCTTTCTCTCTCAGTGACTATCCCTTACCCATCCCCAAGTGATTTATGCCCTATTCAAAACAGCATTGTAAAAAACCCAGAGAGCATGAAAACCAAGCTTGCTTGTACATGCCAGAAGCTCTGACCTTCCTTTTCCTGCTGTTAAAAAGCTTTTGCATTCGAATAACCCAATTACCTGTAGTCCTACAGTCATTCTGGTCCTTCCTGGCGGAGAGGATATGGATGGCTAGCAGTAGCCACTATGGCTTACCTGCTTGAAGGTTTTTCCACAGGCAACTTCTTGGCCACTGTGAGAACAGGATCCTGGAGTCCAGGAGGGGGCAATGGCCGGATCCAGCAGGCTCTGCTTACATTCTTACGCTCCGTAATTGAATGAACAGCTGCAGAGTTGTATCTCAAGAGGAATCGGGTTCCTCTGGCAAACAATGGAAGTATTCTGTATTTATTTTACTTGTTATAATGGAGGTCAGGTCCTGGCAAGCCCGCTTCTCTCGCTTTACAGAAGAGGCCTTTTGGGAACTGCATTCCTTAACCAGGCAAAGGGAATGATGATGGGAATCCAGTTGTTTATTGGGGGAGATAACCTACCATCAAGGACGCAGGTGGCGCTGTGGGTTAAACCACAGAGCCTAGGACTTGCCGAGCAGAAGGTCGGCGGTTCGAATCCCCGTGACGGGGTGAGCTCCTGTTGCTCGGTCCCTGCTCCTGCCAACCTAGCAGTTCGAAAGCACGTCAAAGTGCAAGTAGATAAATAGGTACCACTCCAGCGGGAAGGTAAACGGCGTTTCCGTGCGCTGCTCTGGTTCGCCAGAAGCGGCTTAGTCATGCTGGCCACATGAGCCGGAAGCTGCACGCCGGCTCCCTCGGCCAATAAAGCGAGATGAGTGCCGCAACCCCAGAGTCGGACACGACTGGACCTAATGGTCAGGGGTCCCTTTACCTTCATTTACCTACCATCACTTACCTGCTCATTGAGGAACGCCAGGTTCCCTATGACATTAGTTTGAGATTAAGACCCACCCTTCCTTTCAAGGGTGCCCAGAGCTTCAGGTCTCTTAATTTTGATCTGTGATTAGGAAAGTGATTCACAGATGGTATTTAAATCTTGAGTAGGCTTGCAAAAAGGAACCATGGAAAGATAAGAAGGGAAGTCACTGATATATTGAGGATGTAAAAAGAGTAGTTTTTATTGTAAAACAGTGTGTGTGTGTGTGTGTGTGAGAGAGAGAGAGAGAGAGAGAGAGAGAGAGAGAGAAAGTGAAACAAGAGGAAAGCACTGGTGTGTAAAGAACGTCAGAGCTTGATGGCGCATGGGGCGTAGTTCTGGACTCCAGTCACATGCCGCACACCTTCTTCTCCTGAGACAGTTTAGCAGAACTGGGAGGAAATAAAGGGGAAATATAATAGTTTACTGGGACACGGGTGGCGCTGTGGGTTAAACCACAGAGCCTAGGACTTGCCAATCAGAAGGTCGGCTGTTTGAATCCCCGCAACGGAGTGAGCTCCCGTTGCTCGGTCCCTGTTCCTGCCCACCTAGCAGTTCAAAAGCACGTCAAAGTGCAAGTAGATAAATAGGTACTGCCCTGGCGGGAAGATAAATGGTGTTTCTGTACGCTGCTCTGGTTCGCCAGAAGCGGATTAGTCATGCTGGCCACAAGACCCGGAAGCTGTATGCCAGCTTCCTCGGCCAGTAAAGTGAGATGAGCGCCGCAACTCCAGAGTCCTCCGCGACTGGACCTAATGGTCTGGGGTCCCGTTGTTGTTGTTTAGTTGTTTAGTCGTGTCCGACTCTTTGTGACCCCATGGACCAGAGCATGCCAGGAGCTCCTGTCTTCACTGCCTCCTGCAGTTTGGTCATACTCATGTTGGCAGCTTCGAGAACACTGTCCAACCATCTCGTCCTCTGTCGTCCCTTCTCCTTGTGCCCTCCATCTTTCCCGACATCAGGGTCTTTTCCAGGGAGTCTTCTCTTCTCCTGAGGTGGCCAAAGAATTGGAGCCTCAGCTTCAGGATCTGTCCTTCCAGTGAGCACTCAGGGCTGATTTCCTTCAGAATGGATAGGTTTGATCTTCTTGCAGTCCATGGGACTCTCAAGAGTCTCCTCCAGCACCAGAATTCAAAAGCATCAATTCTTCGACGATCAGCCTTCTTTATTGTCCAGCTCTCACTTCCATACATCACTACTGGGAAAACCAGAGCTTTAACTATACGGACCTTTGCTGGCAAGGTGATGTCTTTACCTTTATAATCGTTTACTGGATGGGGGTGGAAAACACAGAAGCAGCACCTGAGCTGCCTGCCAGATGTTGCTGAAATTCCTCTCATCATCCCTGCCCATGCTAGCAGTCTACAGTATCTGGGGGGCACCAGGTTGCCAAAGCCTGGTACCTATATTCTCTGTCTACCTGGTCCAGCCACTCCATTCTGCCCCCCCTCCAAGTCTCTCAACTTTCCATACCATTGAGTTACTAATGGGGTGGTTTGGGGGGGTTCCCTCCTCCCCTTACCTTTGTTTCCCCACTGCAGATTTTTGCCACCACAGTAGAAGGTCTAGGGCAGGGGTCAGCAACCTTTTCCAGCCGTGGGCTGGTCCACTGTCCCTCAGACCATGTGGGGGGCCGGACTATATTTTTTGGGGGGAAATGAACAAATTCCTATACCCCACAAATAACCCAGAGATGGATTTTAAATAAAAGGACACATTCTACTCGTGTAAAAACACTTCCCGGACCGTCCGCAGGCCGGATTGAGAAGGCGATTGGGCCGGATCCAGCCCCCAGCCCTTAGTTTGCCTACCCCTGGTTTAGAGGCAGGGCATCTGCCTTGAATGCAGAAGGCCTCAGGTGCAATTCTTGACATTTCCAGCTGGTGTGGGAGAAACAGGTGAGAAACACCGGCACCCTGTCTAACTCTTGTGCGCAACATCACCAACACTTCGTTTGATCAAACTTACCTTTGTTGATATCTACAGGAGCCTGGCTAAAGGAACTTTAAAGACTGAATCTTCCTTTTGGACACAATTTGAATGAGTTTTCTGTTTGTGGCTTCTGTAGTAGATCTTGTACACAGCTCTCAATTTTTGGATTATTAATATAAGATTTGGAACGTAGAATGGTTTGGTAGCGTTTTGTGTGCCGCTTATGTGCTTCTTACTTTGCACTGGTCTGCCCCTGGTCTAGGGCACCATTTTTCACCCCAAAGGAAACGGTTGTTATTGTTGATTTCATTTCTATGCCAGATTTTAAAGGGGGAAAAAAATCTCAAAAGTAGTTCGCATTACATTAAAACATCAAACCTAGAATAAAACTCAAGATTCAAGGAAAATATTTCAGTGGCATTTCCCCCCTCCCCATTTTTATCTACCTACTTAATTTATAGAGCTGCCCCTTGGGAGACATAATCTAGGAAGCCAGTGTGGTGTAGTGGTTAGCGTGTTGGACTAGGAGCTGGGAGATCAGGGTTCAAATCCCCACTCCGCTATGAAACTCACTGCGGGACCTTGGAGTGAGTCACAGCCTCCTCACTTTCCTCGCAGGGTCGTTGTTGGATTAAGTGGGAAAGGGGTGAACTGTGTACTCCTTGGAGATAAATGCAGTGAAAAAGCTCTTCTTACCTGCCTAAGAAAACAGGAGGGACCAGCCACAATTGGACCCACACCAGTTGCAAAATACACCTGGCTAATTTTGAACACGGCTTCTGTGTCAGTGGTGTATTTCTGGTGATATACTTTGGCAATCAGGGTGGGTAAAAATCAAATGATTTTTTAAAGAAAAAAAATTGGAGTTTTCCTAATTTAAATTGGATTTTTAAAATAAAATGCTTTTGGAGGAAAAATCTTCCTAAAGATAGTTTTCTGTTTAAGTTACATTGTAGTCCAAAGGCTATTCATTAGGAAATAAGGATTTGTTTTAAGTTTTTCAAGTGTGCTAAAACTCTTGTTTATTTTTAATTGTTTAACCACATCAGTTAACAAACGTGGATACTATAATGTTATTGTTTTAGTTAAATAAACTGTTTAGTTGCTTATTAAGGAAATGATTATTTTTCTCCTTCCAATAAAGCACAGCAGAAAAGTTGTCCAAATGCAAAGTTAACTTATTAAACCTCACAATAATTTCCTAATTATCTGTCAATGTATTTATAATAGTATAACCAAATCAGTAATTTTTGATAGAACTGTAAAAACTACTCTGAAAATTTATTCTTCCAAAAACGAAACCTTCATCTGGTTGTAAATATTAAAATGATACCAGCAAGAATGAGTCTTTCTGTAAAAAAATAATAATGTTTTAAATCAAGTCTTACAGACTAGTGATTTAAATCAGTTTGATTTAAATCAAATCCACTCTGGCTGGAAGGGGAAGTTAAAAAGGTGTATAAACGTCAAAACAGTTGAGTGGGTTGTGGGATGAGTGAAAGCAAATCCCAGCCCTCCAGATGTTTTGGGGCTACAACTCCCATCATCCCTAGCTAGCAGGAACAGTGGTCAGGGATGATGGGATTTGTAGTCCCAAACATCTGGAGGGCCAGAGTTTGCCTGTGCCTGGCCTACAGTTTCATCGTGGGTTTGCTTACTCAGGCGTAAGCCCTGGCAACAAGAGGATATGGCTGAGTTGGAAGTGGGAAACTGTTGCGTCTAATTTCGGGGACGGTTTTAACTGTTTTTCAGCTTCGTCGCTGGTGTGCTGGTACTGCGAAGGAGCGGAATCGAACTGGGGCTGCTGGAGGTGGCAGATTTGCTCTGATTCAGAAACCTCTTGTGCTACCGTCTACGTTGGTGCAGGACTGGGTAGGTATATTTTAAACTAGGGGCACGAGAGTTGCTTTACCAGGCAAGGGGATTCTTGGGTTAATAGGCTGTGGGGTTTTCTGTCTTTGCTACAATCAGCCTTCATCACTTGATGGATAGGCAGGATTCTGCTGATGGAGACCAAAAGCCCATCTAGTCTGGGATAGGGGTCTTGGTTTATTTTGGCTGGCAGGCTGGAGTCCCCACTCCCCATGGGCTGACCTGTGAAGTCCAACGGACGCGGGTCTAAACCACGGAGCCACTTGGGCTTCCTGATCAGAAGGTCGGCGGTTCGAGTCCCAACGATGGAGTGAGCTCCCGTTGCTGTGTCCCAGCTCCTGCCAACCTAGCAGTTCGAAAGCACACCAGTGCGAGTAGATAAATAGGTATCACTGCAGAGGGAAGGTAAACTGCGTTTCCGTGCGCTCTGGTTTAAGCCACAGTGACCCATTGTGCCAGAAGCGATTTAATCCTGCCAGCCACATGACCCGGAAGGCTGTCTGTGGACAAACGCCGGCTCCCTCGGCCTGAAAGCGAGATTAGCACCGCAACCCCATAGTCGCATCTGACTGGACTTAACCGTCCAGGGGTCCTTTACCTTTTACCTGTCAAGTACCCCACATGTTGTGGGTTGACAGTTTGAGCGGGGTTCAGCCTGTGTCAGAAACTCAGATATACACTCTAATAGCCAAATGGCACCTTATACTTGGGTTACGGTTGCCACAATGGAATGTCTAGGTGCCACCTTTTCACAATGAAGCTTCTTCTTCTTCTTCTTAAAAGCTTCCCTAAACAGGGCCGCCTTCAGTTGCCTTTTAAAAGTAAAATAGTTGTTTATTGATTGCCTTGACATCAACTGGGAGGGTGTTCCACAGGGCAGGCGCCACCACCGAGAAGGCCCTCTGCCTGGTTCCCTGTAGCTTTGCTTCTCGCAGTGAGGGAACCGCCAGAAGGCCCTCGGAGCTGGACCTCATGACCCGGAAGCTGTACGCCGGCTCCCTTGGCCAATAAAGCGAGATGAGCGCCGCAACCCCAGAATCGGTCACGACTGGACCTAATGGTCAGGGGATCTCTTTACCTTTATCCTATCTCCTCCCATTCTCCTCTTTTCCAGGCTAAACATACCCGGCTCCTACAACCGTTCCTCATAAGGCTTAGATTCCAGACCCTTCATAATCTTGGTCACCCTCTTCTGCACACATTCCAGCTTGTCAATGTCCTCTTCAAATTGTGGCACCCAGAACTGGACACAGGACTCCAGGTGTGGTCTGTCCAAGACAAAATAGAGTGGGACTGTGACGTCCCTTGATCTAGACACTAGGCTTCTATTGATGCAGTCTAGGATAGCGCTAACTTTTTTTTGCTGCTGCATCACACTGCTGACTCATGTTAGGCTTGTGGTCCACCAAAAACCCTAGATCCTTTTCACATGCACTGCTAGTAAGCCAAGCGCCCTCCATCTTATATTAGTGCAGCTGGTTCTTCCTGCCTAAGAGCAGAACCTGACATTTGTCCCTATTGAAATTGGTTTTATTGGTTACGGCGCAGCTATCTAATCTTGAATCCCAATTATGTCCTCCCTGCCATTAGTTACCCCACCCAGTTTGCTGCCTCTCCTGGTACGTCCCACGGAGGACCTTACGGTCTTCAAACAAAAACATCTTGGAGATCCCGGGCCACAGGGAGGTTAGGCTGGCCTCAACCAGAGCCAGGGCTTTTTCGGCTGTGGCCCCGATCTGGTGGAACGCTCTGTCACAAGAGACTAGGGCCCTGCGGGACTAGACATCTTTCTGCAGGACCTGCAAGACAGAGCTGTCCCACCAGGCCTTTGGCCAAGGCACAGTCTGACCCCCTCCTTCTGTAATCCTCACAGAACTCTAGCCCAGTGGTTGCCATTAATTTGATTCTGAATTGATTTTAGAATGAATTGATTTTAGAATGCATTTCAATTAATTGATTGTGATTTTATGTAAACTGTGTTACTTTTACTGTTAGCCGCTCTGAGCCCGGCTCGGCTGGGGAGGGTGGGATATAAATAAAATATTATTATTACTATTATTATCATCATTACTGATGGGCATCCTGTGTTGACTCGATTCCTTCCTTCCAGCTGGTTATTCGTCGCAGTCCATCACCAAAGGCTGTGTTCCGGTTTGCCCACAAATGGGGGTCAACCTTGGCTTCGTAGCCACGTCCGTCAACTGCTGTTCGTCTTTCTTATGCAACATCAACGGAGCCAGCAGCGTCAAAACAAACCACCTGATATTGGCTGCTGGGATCGCCGCCAGCTTCTTCTACCTCTTTGGACCCAGGCTGTGATTTTTTTAGAAATATTTGCACGCAGAAGGAGTCTGCTCAGCCTTCTCCACCGAGAAGCCTGAAAATAATGTGTTTTTCAATGGCATATAATTCCATTGCTTTTTAACCCAATGAATCTGTGTCTCTGCACTTTGTATTGGTCTTAAGAGGAGAGAGACCTTTTCACTTCTCATTTTTTGGGGTGGGGGGAGGGGGAATGAGATGTTTTGTATGGCAACACTGCCCCCCTGAGGCTGCTGGGATTTTTGCACACCCTGGTGAGGAGCTGGCAGCTTGTTGGGGAAATAATTTTGCACGATACAGAAGCCAAAAACTCTGCTGAACAAAACATTCCTAATCCCTATGGGGGGCTTTAAACAGGGGCCTTAAACTGTGTTTTCCGCTTGATGGCTCACCGGGAGGCAAAATCGACTGGGGGTGGGGGAAACCCCTCGGATGAAATCTTTTTCTTTTTCTATATTCTGAATTTAGATCCAGTTTTTTGCTTGTCACATTTCACATAAAGAGCAATGTGACATGCATGAAGTGTTTGGATTCGGAGCAGGGATTTGGTTTTTTTGTTTTGCCTGTTAAAAATTTACATTAAAAAGTGAACACTGTCTAGACAATTTTGCAAGCTATGTGGGTTTTCAACACCCGGTTCACTTGTGCTTTCTGAACTTTAATAAATACATTTTGGTTTTTACCTTACTTCATTTCCCCCCTTCTGTTTTCCTGTCACAACATGCCTCCAGTTGCATGTCATGTGTTTTCCTGAAATAACTTGCATTATTAATTACTCACCTTTAGGTTCCAGGGTGGATTACAACATTAATGTACGGTTTTGAAAACCATCACAAAAATAAGTTTGGTCCTAAAAATAATACACCTCAAGTGTCAAAAGCCATTATCTCCCACATTTCATATAACCAGAATTGTAGAGTTGGAACAGGCAGGCAGCAAGGATCCTCTGTTCAAACTCCCTGCCATGAAGGAATCTCAGCTAGATCGTTAGGAAGAACTTCGAAATCGCGGTCTGGCAATATCTTAGGACCAACCAAATGTCACAACTTGGTTGCCAGCTATTGCCTTGTCCAGTTTGTGTGTGTGAGAGAGAGAGAAAGAGGGAGGGAAAGCTACACGCTGAAGTCAGCCTTACAATCAAGATTGCCCACTGTAGAGCAGATTGTTTCAATTCTTTAAAAAAGAGTACTAGAAACATGCGTTTTAGCTGTAGTGCAACGAAGGAAGCGGGGCTAGTTTTGTGCTCACTTGCAACCTTTTTGAGTTGGGGAGTAGAACAGCGGTCGGCAACCTAAGGCCCCATTGGCCAGTAGCGGCCATTTTAATAATGGCTTTTTATTATACTTTTTCATGTACAGTTCCCGAGAACTCTTTTGATGTTTTCTTTATGAGGAAGCGGCTTAGAGAACCTTTGTTGTTTAGTCGCTCAGTCGTGTCCGACTCTTCGTGACCCCGTGGACCAGAGCACGCCAGGCACTCCTGTCTACAAAAGTAAATAAATATAACCTATCGGTGTTTGAGGAGATAACAGAAATCACTGGGTTAAGGCTGACCAAAGGTCCAGAGGTAGTATTAGTATCAATTTACGATGGGTGTGGAAGGTTCGCAGGCTACGAAGGGCTTGCTCCCAAATTTATTGACAGCCGCACAAAGTATTATAAGCCAGGAAGTGGAAGGGGCAAGCAGAATATAAAATGGAAGAATGGTATAAAGAGGTGTGGGGTATAGCTATTAATGATAAATTAACATGTGCCATTAAGGTAAGATGGGGAATATGCAGGAGAAGTGATTTTGAGGAGATAATGGAGAATGTTTGTAGAATTTTGTACTGTTAAAAACGGAAAGGCGTCAAACCATCGCAAGAGGTGTTGAAATTTTGGGAGGTTGGGTAGTTCCAATGGAATGGTCTCAGTGGTGGGGTGCACATTTTTATTCTTTATGATGATTTGTCAAAATAAATAAAAACAGAATCTATCGGGGATCTTTTCCTCTGACGTTTCCTCACTGAGGTCGGCTGCCTCCTGACAACATTTGTTCCAAACATTCCACCAACTATAGTTCCGTCTCCATTGTGACACTTGTGCTTCTCCCCCTGTGCCTCAGTATCTTGCAACGATGGCAGGAGGGTATTCCCCTTGCGCTTTCATTGTCCAGGATGCTAAAATGCACACATAGTTGGAACAGGCAGAGCTTTTCTTACTGTCCCCCCGGTTCCAGCAGGACGTTAGCTGCCGAGTCCTGTTCCAGGGCGTGTTGGCGGTGGCTGTCTTCAGAAAAGACACGGCCGACTGACAGGTAAGAGGGCTGGGGTGGGAGCAGAGGCAATCCTGGCAGGATTTCAACCTGTCTGTAGGTTGATCTCTGGCTACCCATTTTAATATTATATTTGTTGTTTAGTCGTTTAGTCATGTCCGACTCTTTGTGGCACCAATGGACCAGAGCACGCCAGGCACTCCTGTCTTCCACTGCCTCCCGCAGTTTGGCCAAACTCATGCTGGTAGCTTCAAGAACACTGTCCAACCATCTCGTCCTCTGTCGTCCCTTCTCCTTGTGCCCTCCATCTTTCCCAGCATCAGGGTCTTTTCCAAGGAGTCTTCTCTTCTCATGAGGTGGCCAAAGTCTTGGAGCCTCAGCTTCAGGATCTGTCCTTCCAATGAGCACTCGGGGCTGATTCCCTTCAGAATGGAGAGGTTTGATCTTGCAGTCCATGGGACTCTCAAGAGTCTCCCTCCAGCACCATAATTCAAAAGCATGAATTCTTTGGCGATCAGCCTTTTTTATGGTCCAGCTTTCACTTCCATACATCACTACGGGGAAAACCATAGCTTTTACTATATGGACCTTTGTTGGCAAGGTGATGTCTCAACTTTTAATATTATAATATAATATTATATACCAACTTTTTTGTTATTGGAACTTGTAGTCTACCTTCAATCCAGTTGTCATAGCAGCTTAGAACTCTGGCTTCCTGGAGCATTTCTGTTAAAACTGGAGGCACAGCATAGCCATCTTAGCTGGTGGCTATTGAAAGCCTTCTCTTCCACGATTTTGTCCAATCCTCTTTGAAAGCTGTCCTAGTGGGTGTGCTCCAGTGGCAGGGAGTTCCATAGTTTAAGCCATTTTCTTTTTCCTGCCCTGAATCTTCTAAACATGCAGCTTCACTGGATGTCTTCAAGAGAGCGAGAAGAACTTTTCTCTTTCCGCAAGAGAGTGATTTTGTAAAGGAATAAAATTCTGCGTAATTTTTGTAAAGGAATACTTCTGAATATTAAAGGAAGATTCTGTAGCAGAATTTGTCCCTGTGAAGAACTCTCCAAAGGGACCACTAGGTGGGGTTGTTGTTTGACTAAAAGGTAGTTTTCGGGCATCCACTGTTAATTCAGAATATGCAATTGTCTGTTCCCACTTCTTATGCGCGGACTCTGCCCAGGGATTGGCAGGGAGACTTAGAAGTAGGGGCTTGATGGAAATATCCACCCCTTTTGGTGTCTGCAGCAACTGGTAATCTCCAATAAAAATTATTGTGATGCATTAGAAGCAGGGAAACAGCCAGGGAGGTGGTCAGACTTTTGAATGACAAGGGAATTTAAGGTGTGCTAAAAGAGGGAACGCGGGTGGTGCTGTGGGTTAAACCACAGAGCCTAGGACTTGCCAATCAGAAGGTCGGCAGTTCGAAACCCTGCGACGGGGTGAGCTCCTGTTGCTCGGTCCCTGCTCCTGCCAACCTAGCAGTTTGAAAGCACACCAGCGCAAGTAGATAAATAGGTACCGTTCCGGTGGGGAAGTAAACAGTGTTTCCGTGCGCTGCTCTGGTTCGCCAGAAGCGGCTTAGTCATGCTGGCCACATGACCCGGAAGCTGTACGTCGGCTCCCTTGGCCAATAAAGCGAGATGAGCGCCACAACCCCAGAGTCGGTCACGACTGGACCTAAAGGTCAGGGGTCCCTTTACCTTTAAAAGAGGGAAAGGGGGATTGCAAAGAAACTGAATCTGCATAATGAGAACAGACAAAACGAAGCAGCAACAACGTGATACAGTGTTCACCTGCAGTGATGAAGGCAACGCTTCTGTGGGAATGTTCAAGGTGGCAGGAGAGGATATATTGTTTATTAATATCCTTCCTAACTTATGCTAGCAAGTTCCTTTACTTAGTAGAGTTTACATGCCCCTTTTACATTCACAGCAGATAGCTGGTTGCAGGCTCGTGTGAGCCTCTCACAATTATACAATTCAGTCTGTCTCTGATTGAATTGTACGTTCCTGGTAAGTTCCCTTGAATCCCTCTTAAAAGAATAAATACATCACAATCTTATTCTAAGTCAGTAAAAGAAGTTTGCTTACATCAGATCACAGTTGGATTCCGGAAGGCAGATTTAGTTAGAAATATGTACATGTGGATCTACTCCATGTGGGGGAATAATCCCAGTGCTTCTGCTAGCTGAGATCTAGCAGAGCAGTCCTAGCTAAAAACTGGTCAAACGAAGAAGGAAGTCAAAAAGAGGGAGATGTGCTGCGTGACTCGTCCTTTTGTTACCTGGACAGGTTAGGTCATGCCCACCTTTTATCACATGCAAAAGGAAGGATGCTCCAGCCAGGAGGAACAGGAAGTTTCAAATGGTGGGACCAAACATTCCCTCGCATGTCTTCTCTAGCATTACAAGGAATGTTGGACTTGACTGCCTCTCATGGATCACATCCCACAGCTTCTGAATCTCTGTTGATGGGGGGTGGAGTAGAAGTGGGGAGAGAGCACTTTTGCATTGTTGGGTTTCCCAAGGGCCCCCGGTTGACACTGTGAGACGTGATAGGCCTTTGGTCTGATGGTAGAATTAGACCCAGGTCCCATCTGGCTCAGCATCCTGGTCTCAGCAGAATGTTTCTAAATGGTACCATCTCCTTTCGCATTCCAACCGCCCTGGCTGCATGAATCACAAAGGAGAGAACTGTGTACAGTCGTACCTCGGGTTAAGTACTTAATTCGTTCCGGAGGTCCGTTCTTAACCTGAAACTGTTCTTAACCTGAAGCACCACTATAGCTAATGGGGCCTCCTGATGCCGCCGGAGCACGATTTCTGTTCTCATCCTGAAGCAAAGTTCTTAACCTGAAGCACTATTTCTGGGTTAGCGGAGTCTGTAACCTGAAGCGTATGTAACCCGAGGTACCACTGTACAGTCGTAGCTTGGATCCTGAACACCTTGCGAGTTGAACATTTTGGCTCCTGAACTGCGCAAACCCGGAAGCGAGTGTTCCGGTTTGCGAACGTTCTTTGGAACCCGAACATCTGGCCCTGCTTCTGACTGGCTGCAGGAGCTTCCCGCAGCCAATCAGAAACCGTGCCTTGGTTTCCCACCGTTTTGGAAGTTGAACGGACTTCCGGAACAGATTCCGTTCAACTTCTAATGTACCACTGTACAGTCATACCTCTTGTTACGTTTGCTTCAGGTTAAATCTTTTCAGGTTGCGTCCCGCGGAGACCTGGAAGTACCAGAAAGGGTTACTTCCAGGTTTCGCCGCTCGTGCATGTGCAGACACTAAAAATGATGTCACGTGCATGTGCAGAAGCGTCGAATCGCAACCTGCGCATGCACAGACGCGGGTTTCGTTCTGCTCATGTTGCGAACGGGGCTCTGGAACAGATCCTGTTCGCAACCAGAGGTACCGCTGTATTTCCTGGCTTAATTGTTGACATGATGATTTTATGCACCAAAGGGGACTCCTCAAGGCAGGCTGCTTCATCCTAGCGGCGGAGGAAGAAACAAAATGATGAAGGTTCTACCTGTCCTACTGTTGACCACCATCTTGTGGACTAAAACGGGTGAGTCTTTGACATGATGGTCATTTGCTCCTGGAACAACCTCCTTAGCTTGGAGAGGAGAAGACTGACAGGTGAAAGGATGGCAACCTTCAAGTATCTGAAGGGCTTTTCACGTGGAAGATGGAGCAAGCTTGTTTTCTGCTGCTCCAGAGGGCAGGACCTGAATCAATGGATTCAAATTACAAGAAAGAACATTTCAACTAAGCATTGGGAAGAACTTTCTGAGGGTAAGAGCTATTCGACAGAGGGATCGACCAGCTCAGAAAGTGGTGGATGTCCATTATTGGAGATTTTTAAGGTTGGAGAAGCCATCTGTCAATAACAACAACAACAACAACATATTTATACCCCGCCCATCTGGCTGGGTTTCCCCAACCACTCTGGGTCGCTTACAACACATATAAAAACATAGTATAATTTCAAATGTTAAAAACCTCCCGATACAGGGCTGCATTCAGAAGTCTTCTAAAAGTCAGATAGTTGTTTTTCTCCTTGATATCTGGTGGGAGGGTGTTCCACAGGGTGGGTGCCACTACCGAGAAGGCCCTCTGTCTGGTTCACTGTAACTTGGCTTCTCACAATGAGGGAACTGCCAGAAGGCCCTCGGTGCTGGACCTCAGTGTCCGGGAAGAACGATGGGGGTGGAGACGCTCCTTCAGGTATACTGGACTGAGGCCGTTTAGGGCTTTCAAGGTCAGCACCAACACTTGGAAATGTACTGGGAGCCAATGTGGGTCTTTCAAGACTGGTATTATGTGGTCTCGGTTCAGAATTCTTTGGCCCCGATTCCTGCATTGCAGGAGGTTGGACTAGATGATCCTTGGGGGTTCCCTTCCAACTCTACAATTCTGTGATTCTTGTGGGCATCTTAGAAAGGAGCACAAGGACATGGTTTGGCCCGGCAGCCAGCCAGCCACCCATGATTGGTTGCTCAGATGCCCTCTTAAGAGACTTACTGGGGAGAAACCTGGGGATCTCTGGTTACCGTATTTTTCGCTCCATAACCTGACCATAAGGCGTATCTAATTTTAGAGGAGGAAAACAAGAAATAAAATATTCTGAATGAAACAGTGGATGTATGATTCTTGTGGTTCATGCTATGGCCACAGACATGTGATTTGATGGTGAATTTGGGGTGACCCAGTGCAAAGATCCTGAGGATCCATGTGGATCTGTGCTTTGTAATCATATTTTTGCACCATTGCAGCCCCAGGAAACAGTGGATATGTGATTTTTTTGGTGCAGGCTGTAGCCATGGACATCGTATTGTATCGTAAAACCTTTATTGGCATCACATGCAACATCCAAAACAAATCAATACAGAATTACCACTTCCCCAGTGGCACAAAACATTTACTAAAAGAAAGGAGGCATTCGCTCCATAAGACGCACAGACATTTCCCCTTACTTTCTAGGAAGAAAAAAGTGCGCCTTATGGAGCGAAAAATACGGTAGGTAGTTCCAGTACTTAGCCTGTGTCATTTGAAAGTCCTAGCGAAGACAGATTTCTCCCCCATTTTTATGGTGTGTGTTTTATTTTATTTTAAAAAGTTGCTTCTTCCTTGCAGCTTCTTCCCTGGAATGTTATACCTGCAATGAAACGAAATATTCTGGTTGTGACACTGTTGTGAACTGTTCTCAAACAGATCGCTTCTGCACGCGTTACACTGGTAAGTATGGGGAGGCTGAGTGTAGCCATTGCGCCTAGTAGCCGTCAGTAGCCCTCTCCTCCATGAATTTGTCTAATTCTTTTTCAAAGCCATCCAAGTTGGTAGCCATCAGTGCTTCATGGGGAAGTGAGTTCCATAGTTTAACTATGGATGCATCAAGAAGTACGTTATTTCTTTGGTCCTTAGTTTTTCAGCATTCATCTTCCCTGGATGCCCATGAATTCAAGGGTTAGGAGAGTGAGAGAAAAACTGTCTCTCTCCACTTTCTCCAGGTTATGCATTATTATGTTGCCTTTTGCTTGCTTTTTCTCGAAAGTCAATGAAACAATAAAATTATAGCTTTCTGTGGGTTAAACCACAGAGCCTAGGAGTCCCTTTACCTTTAACCATGACCCACGCAGGTGGCGCTGTGGGTTAAACCACAGAGCCTAGGACTTGTCGATCAGAAGGTCGGCGGTTCGAATCCCTGCGACGGGGTGAGCTCCCGTTGCTCGGTCCCTGCTCCTGCCCACCTAGCAGTTCGAAAGCACCTCAAAGTGCAAGTAGATAAATAGGTACCGCTCCAGCGGGAAGGTAAACGGCATTTCCGTGCGCTGCTCTGGTTCGCCAGAAGCGGCTTAGTCATGCTGGCCACATGACCTGGAAGCTGTATGCCAGCTCCCTCGGCCAATAAAGTGAGATGAGCACCGCAACCCCAGGGTCGTCCGCGACTGGACCTAATGGTCAGGGGTCCCTTTACCTTTACCTTTAACCATGGCCCTTTCCCATCCTCTCCCTTTTAGAAACAACCTCTTCCACCGGCTATGCTGTGGAGCAACGCTGCTCCAACACTTGCTTGATCGCCAAGGTTAGTTGGCCGTCGCTGTTTACTTTCACCTGCTGTCAAGAGGACAGGTGCAACGGCACAGCGAATGTAAGGTTTGGCATGCTTATGCTAGTGGTGCTGGTTGTCATCAGAGCTTTGATTTGACCAGGAACTGAGACCCCGGGTGGGCAGAATGGAACTAAGGCGAAGCCCCTGCCCAGAAAGCAAGTCGTCTATCTCGGCGGCCAGTTTTAGCCAAGGCGCACAGAGTAATCCCACCACCAAAAAGGCCCTGTACCTTATATTTTTTTATTATTGCTGTGTTGCGTTCTGGACACTCTGTTTCAGGGAGTAAAGTCTAGTACCACCAGTGGCAGACTGATGTACCAAAAGGTGGACTTCTGGGACAGTTTGGAGGCTTGGGTCAGCTTGTGGCCATCATGTCATGTCTGATAGCTCATGCCAAAAGAAAAAAGAGTAATGAAAAGACTGAACCCCTTCCGGGGAGATTTTAATCGTTATTCAGAAGAAAAGAGAGATAAATGACAAACATCCCCAAGCAAAAGTTACATGGCTCAGTACCTGAGCTTTATGGGGATCACTGGACATTCGGGAAATGAATGGCCACCAAACACCAGCAAACTGTTCTAGAGCCAGCGTCGCCTTTTTGTACTTTTAAATGATGTGTGAGTTTTTCAGAAACTGCTAATAAAAGCTTTTTGTCCCATATATCTGAGGGGCTTCTTTTTGCTTCTTCCCAGTTCTGATTTCTGAGTGGTCTTGCGGCTACGGAAATAATAATAATAATAATAATAATAATAATAATAAAAAATACCCCGCCCATCTGGCTGAGTTTCCCCAGCCACTCTGGGCGGCTTCCAATGGAGTGTTAAAAATAATACAGCATTAAATATTAAAAACTTCCCTAAATAGGGCTGCCTTCAGATGTCTTTTAAAGATAAGATAGCTACTTATTTCCTTCACATCTGAAGGGAGGGCATTCCACAGGGCGGGCGCCACTACCGAGAAGGCCCTCTGTCTGGTTCCCTGTAACCTCACTTCTCGCAATGAGGGAACTGCCAGAAGGCCCTCGGCGCTGGATCTCAGTGTCTGAGCTGGATGGTGGGGTGGAGACACTCCTTCAGGTATACAGGGCCGAGGCTGTTTAGGGCTTTAAAGGTCAGCACCAACACTTTGAATTGTGCTCAGAAGCGTACTGGGAGCCAATCTAGGTCTTTCAAGACAGGTGTTATGCGGTCTCGGCAGCCGCTCCCAGTCACCAGTCTAGCTGATGCATTCTGGATTAGTTGTAGTTTCCGGGTCACCTTCAAAGGTAGCCCCACATAGAGCGCATTGCAGTAGTCCAAGCGGGAGATAACCAGAGCATACACCACTCTGGTGAGACAGTCTGCGGGCAGGGAGGGTCTCAGCCTGCGTACCAGGTGGAGCTGGTAAACAGCCGCCCTGGACACAGAATTGACCTGCGCCTCCATGGACAGCTGTGAGTCCAAAATGACTCCCAGTCTGCGCTCCTGTTCCTTCACAGTTACCCCATTCAGGAACTAGGGTCTCCTTAAAATGCGAAGCAAACCAACCCCCCCCCCCACACTTTGGAATGGAAACCAGCAGCCTTAATTTCCCTGCAAAAACAGCCAGGGACATTCTATTAAAGCAGTCAGCCTCTCTTCGGTTTCCCAAAGTGCCGTTCTGCTTTCATGCTTCGGTCAGGGAGGAGGGCAAGAGAGGAGCTTACCTATCTGTGTGCAGACGATCACCGCACCCAACAAGGAGAGAAGATAAGACGCCTTCTTCATTGTCGTTGCTCCAGCTGTCTCTGAATGATCAAGTTCTCCTTTGGAGAGGTTATTTATAAAGGGACAAAGGCTGCTCTAGAATCCCCTGGGAGCCAATGCAGATCTCTCAGGACCAGTGTTATGTGGTCCCGGCGGCCGCTCCCAGTCACCAGTCTAGCTGCCGCATTCTGGATTAACACAGTGGTACCTCGGGTTAAGTACTTAATTCGTTCTGGAGGTCCGTTCTTAACCTGAAACTGTTCTTAACCTGAAGCACCACTTTAGCTAATGGGGCCTCCTGCTGCTGCCGCGCCGCCAGCGCACAATTTCTGTTCTCATCCTGAAGCAAAGTTCTTAACCCGAGGTACTATTTCTGGGTTAGCGGAGTCTGTAACCTGAAGCGTCTGTAACCTGAAACGTATGTAACCCGAGGTACCACTGTGGTTTCGAACAGTCACTGTTGATTTTCGGATCCCTGTACCACACTTGAATCAGCGCCTGAATGAGCTTCTCCATAGTCGTACAGTCTGCAGCACGGAGGCGACTTTTGCATATAGTCCACAAATTCTCATTGGGATTTACGTCCGGGGAATTCCCTGGCCAATCAAGTACCTGCATTTGCTGCTCTGTCATGAATTCCTTCACCACTTTCGATGTGTGACAGGGGGCTAGATCCTGCTGCAATATCCCAGTACCATCAGGACACCTCTAGAATAACTCTCTTTCGTAGAACCTCAATATATTGTGGCGAGCGCATCACTCCTATTGGCTGCAGGCTTCCGACACCATAACGATCAACTGACTTTTCGTGTTTGTTTTGAGCACAGGATGACGAGTAAGAGAGAAAATACGCTTTGTTTCAATTAATTTGCACAAGGATATAGGATATAAGTAATGGGCCCCGCCTGCTAGCCTGCTCCCTAAAATACCACTGGTTTGCTCATTTCTATATATAGGGTGCCTACATTCTGCATGTGCAAATGACTTTAGATACTTTTTAGGTCCATAAATTACCATATAGCATATATTCAACATAAATAAGCGGCAATTTGTTGTTGACAAAGGACAGTTGGACATATAAAGGGTCCCATTAGCTTCAATAGCTTAGGATCTCATCAAACCCCTATCCGGCCCTGACCACGATACCACTTTAAACTGTCATGGCTTCCCCCAAAGAATTCTGGGAGCTGTAGTTTGTTCAGGGTGTTCAGAGTCCTTAGGGGACTTCCATTCCCTTCAAGGAAGCACCATTCCCAGAGTGGTTCTACAATCAATCCATCTTCACAGGGAACTCTGGGAATTGTTCATTTTTTGCCCAGGTGTCTCCACCTTGCTTATTGTATTTAATCACAAGCGAGAGGAGTAAAGCTCCTGTCAATCAGAAGAGGAAAAGAACAGCAGTCATGCAAAGGGGAAGAAAGAAGAAGGAATTCACCGTTCAGCCAGTTTCAGGTAAGTTGCATGAAACCGCCCAAGTCTTACCATTATCGTATTGTTCTGGGCAATTCAATATGAGAAAAATACCCTGACCGCACATGTCAGTTCACACTGTTGGTAAAAGAAAATGACACCAGAGATGCTGTTTTCGTGGGCCTTCTAAAGCTCTCTGAGGGCGAATTTGCCTTCCATCTCTGTGGAAAGGTGTGTTCAGAACAGTTTTGGTTTTTTTGAGGATTTTAACAAAATGTTTATTACAAAAGAAAAGGTCATCAGGCAACATATATGAATATAATCAGGTGACTGGGGATTGGAAAATTCATCAGCCAGCTCTATGAATAGCAAGAAGCCTTGCACTTTCCTTCATCGGGGTAGTGAGCAGTCGTAGGTCAAAAATACTTGTAAATGATAAGAAGATGCTATTGGCTAAAGCCATCAGCGCACCATAACGGCCTCTTGGTGGTTACCTAGAAGACAGCTCTTTGCTGGACTAGGCTCTCGAGCACCTACAGCCTTCTGACCATAGCTGTCAACTTACAGATTTGAAAATAAAGGACCAGCAGCCTTGAAAATAAGGGACCAGCAGCCAAAATAAGGGACCTGCAGCCTCACCTGTTCCAGGCACTCCAGTCTTCCTGTCCTCCTGCAGTCTGGTCAAACTCATGCTGGTAGCTTCGAGAACACTGTCCAACCAACTTTGTAACCAGAGGTTCAACTGAATAGAATCTGAATCACATGCACCACATGGCCTATGCAGCCTCAACTTAAGATGGCTCCCCGGCCTGGCTTTGCACTGCAAAGTTTGCAGCAGCACGTACAACAAAATGGCGTCCAGCATTCAAAAACCTCCTCAGCTTGCATTAACTGGCCACACACAAGGCATGCAAGCTCCACCCCCCAGTCGTTCTTAGACTTCTTATTGGGTGAGCAACACAGCCAAGCAACACAGTTGGAGCCTCCCTCCTCCCTGGCCGGTAGGGAGGGAGGGAGAGGAGCTGCTTCCTTTGAAATTTAAGGGACATCATTTAAGGGACATCCATCAATAAGGGACAGCAGCGGGACATGGCGCTGGAATAAGGGCTGTCCCTTCAAATAAGGGACACTTGACAGCTATGCTGCTGACAGCCTATTATTTGCCAGCGATTAGGGGGTTCCTCAGCACCACAATGACTGAATCTCCATGCAGGAACATCTTGGAGATGTAGCGGTCCTTGTTGACAGGTTTCGATTTCTTCTTGCCTTTCCCACTCTTGGGCACCTCTGTCCACATCTCCTTAACGTTTTCCAACACCATGTTGCAGTGCCTGTCAAAGGCTTTGACCCGGCCAAGCAGTTTCTTGTTGTTTCGACAGTTGATTAGCACCTGAGTATTGTTTTTTACGGACTGGGTGAGAACAGAAAGGGGCCCTGTGTTGAACTCTTCCTCCTCCCTCTTCTGCAGCTCCTCTGGGGTCATCTCACTCTTGGGCTTCTTTAAGAGGCTCAGGGCTGGGCCCTTCTCATCTTCCTAGCCGTCGACTCACGCGGCGAACTGCTCCGCCGCGGGTTTGCAAATGTGAGCGCCTTCCCAGGCTTCCGCTTCCGGGGCATTTCCAAACCTGCCCGGCCGGCCCTTCGTGTTCAGAACAGTTGACACGGACCGTATCCTAGATGGTGTCTTGGACTAATATCTGGATTTTCATTGCAAGAAAACAAAGCCCAGATCAAAGAGGTCCTCACACTGGCTTACTAGTAGCACAGGTGAAAAGGATCTATGGGTCTTAGCAGACCACAAACTGAACAGGAGTCAGCAGAGTGATGCAGCAACAAAAAAAGTGAATGCTATTCTAGCCTGCATCAACAGAAGTACCGTGTCCAGGTCAAGGGAACTCATCACACTACTTCATTCTGCCTTGGTCAGACCTCACCTGGAGTTTTGTGGACATCACAGTCTAA